ATCCCTGTGAAGGGTTGCAAAATTCATCTCAATGCTCATCAAAAATTGCAACTTTACCTCGCGTTCAACCACTCGACCACGCCAATCCCTGTGAGGGGTTGCAAAATTCATCTCAATGCTCATCAAAAATTGCAACTTTACCTCGCGTTCGAACACTCCACCACGCCAATCCTTGTGAAGGGTTGCAAAATTCATCTCAATGCTCATCAAAAATTGCAACTTTACCTCGCGTTCGAACACTCCACCACGCCAATCCTTGTGAAGGGTTGCAAAATTCATTTCAATGCAAATCAAAAAATGCAACTTTACCTCGCGTTCGAACACCCGACCACGCCAATCCCTGTGAAGGGTTGCAAAATGCAAATCCCTGTGAAGGGTTGCAAAAAAAATTGAACTGCACCCAAACCCTGTGAAGGGTTGCGCGGCGCCCGCAAGAAGTGTAACTTTACCTCGCGTTTGAACGCCCGAGGAGGCGAATCCCTGTGAAGGGTTGCGCGGCGCCCGCAAGAAGTGTAACTTTACCTCGCGTTTGAACGCCCGAGGAGGCGAATCCCTGTGAAGGGTTGCGCGGGAACCGCAAAATGTGTAACTTTACCTCGCGTTTGAACGCCCGAGAGTTCCAATCCCTGGGAAGGGTTGCGCGGGAACCGCAAAATGTGTCACTTTACCTCGCGTTTGAACGCCCGAGGCAGCGAATCCCTGGGAAGGGTTGCGCGGTGCGCCTAAAATGTGTCACTTTACCTAGCGTTTGAACGCCCGAGGCAGCGAATCCCTGGGAAGGGTTCACCGGTGCGCCTAAAATGTGTCACTTTACCTAGCGTTTGAACGCCCGAGGCAGCGAATCCCTGGGAAGGGTTCACCCGCGCGCCTAAAATGTGTAACTTTACCTAGCGTTTGAACGCCCGAGGCAGCGAATCCCTGGGAAGGGTTGCATTCCCGATGGACCCCGACGGTGCCACCCCCGCCTTTAAAAGAAATATTAAGATACCGAGATGTAGATAGTATGTAGAGAGTAAGTCATAAGTCATAGTAAGTCATAGATGCATAGAGAGACAGTCATAAGTAAGTAATCATAAGTATAATCATAAGTAATAAGTAAGTAAGTAGAGTCAGTAAGTAAGTCAGTAAGTAGTAAGTATAGTAAGTATAGCAAGTATAAGTAAGCAAGTCAAGTAAGTAAGTAAGTAAGTATAGAGATAGCATAACATAGAGTCCAGTGTCAAGTGTCAAGTAAGTTAGTAAGTAGATTGAAGTAGTAAGTAAGTAAGTAAGTAAGTCGTAAGCATAACATAGAGTCAAGTATCAAGTGTAGAGTCAAGTATCATAGAGTCAAGTGTCAAGTGTAGAGAGTCAGTCATAGGGGTCAAGTAAGTAAGTAAGTATCAAGTGTAGAGTCAAGTATCAAGTGTAGAGTGTAGAGTAAGGAGTCAAGTAAGTTGATTCTATGTCTGTCATCTATGTACTCAACTGCGGCGTTCCACACGGAAGAACCCTTCGCGATGCTTTCGGGAAAAAATCAGGGCTCGGAGATTTGACGATCTGCACAAGGAAGACGCCAACTTCATGAACCTGCGCGCAGTATTCTGTTTTAAGGATACAGCGATACGACCCCTGTTACGAAGGGAATTATTGCAAGAGTGACACCTTCTGCTGTGGATCGAAAACCGGACCCTAAAATAGAGAACTGCCCATGTTGATCTGTTCGTTTCACGGGTTGGTGATGCTTTCAGCAACTGTCATGGTTGGCATCATTGCCCCCTGTGTGGAAACCTAGAGTCTACATGATATCTTCAGTTGCAAGAAACCTCACATGTGAGGAACCATAACCCCCGCTCCCGGACACCAGCATTCAGGATGATCGGATGTGAACCTACATGGAGCGCCGCCGTACCCAAAGGGGTCGACAGAATAGCATTCATGAGAGGCCTCATCAGATGTGCTTGCAGTCTCATTCTGCCGAAGCTCCAAACCCTTGCTCTCAAAGTCATCCCCTGAACCCGAAACCCAAACCCCACCCCTCAAAGCCTCACACCTCGGGCCCAAGACCGTACACCGTCGTGACTGGGGGAGAGCTCTGGTTTAACCAAGACTTCCTCCTGAGGAGTGAATTGCTGTCGCGGCCCTATACTACCCCATACGTGCGCTGTAGTACATCTTTTCAGAGATGTATGGGGTGATAAGTGGACATGTACATTTACATATGACTATACATGTGATTACATATGTATGTACACATGTCGGGCTCCGCAGCTTCAGCATTTAGTCCGGGGGACCTGCCAAGCAGAGTCCATCCACCCTCACATCTTAGGTCTTACATGGCCTTCCGGCTCGGGGTTTTTGGGCCCACTTAGACGAGCACCAGACTGGACCATGCCGACAGGGCATCGAGATTTCAGCCTTGGCTGGCCAACCGCCGATCCGCGAGCGCGCGCGCGCGCGTTCAACCGAAAAGTGGTTCATCCTTCAGAGATGTTTAACCATATAGCCGTAGCAACGTAAACCCCCCCCCCTCTCCCGACAAAAGCCGAGAAACATTGAGGTATGGAGCTTAGAGAAGCTATTGCAAGCTTCTTGCAGGACCCTTGATCGCAGTAGTTTCGCACATCAGTGTCAATCACCATCAGGTTACATTGGGAGCTGGGAGCACGCTGCGCCAAGCCGTATGTGTAGCGGAAGACCAAAGCAAGAGTCCCGAAATCAGATCCAGCATGACATAACCTACCCACAGGCCCCAAAGTAGTCCCTTTTTGGGATTACCTTATAGGATTCTAAATACGAACCCCAAAAAGGAACTACTTTGGGTCCTTAGGGCAAGCTGCAGCTGCAGGATGCGTACAGCATGCTCCTCGTTGACTCGAGCTTGACATGGACCCCAAAATGACTATGGTAGTATCAATACTAACAACAACCATCAGAATCATAACCAGAATATTATCCTAAACACAGATGGAAAGTGCGTATCAATAGTAATAACAACACGGACAGATAAAGGTTAATTCCACAAGACAGGTCGTAGTTTTGTTCCAGCCACTTGGATGTCGTGGGCTTTCGGCGCGATGCTTCCAAAGTTGACCATCCTAACGTCGTGATTGCCTGGTAGATATATCTTTGTCGGTAATGTCCAGCATGTCCTGCGCACTTTTCTTGAAATCCATTTCCGTGTAGTCCAAGATCGTTGATTCTGCCATGTGATTTACGCCTTCAAGATTGGCTACATTTCAACCCCTTTCGGTACCTTTGATGGGATATGCTGGACGTCACTTGTAGTGCGCAATTGGTGGTGATATGCAGAAGAGATCATGCAGGAGTCTTGCAATGATAGGCTATTGGGGTACATAATATAGGTGCCGTAATCAACACTATTGTGGGGGGTTCCTAATGTTATAACTATAGTTTCATTCATGGGCCCAAAACCCTCTTCTAATCTTCAAGGCCCCTATGCTAGTGTTACCCTGAATTGGAAACGGTTCTGCTCACCGTGGACAGGTTCGGAATTGCAAGTATGAAGTCGCTGCTGCTGTTTCAGGCTTGGGGTACAAGAACCCGAACTCTAGACCCGTCCCTAAACCCTAAACCTAAAACAGCTAAAATCTTGCGGTCACCAAAAGACACGAGGGCCCTAAACCCTAAACCCTAAACCCTAAACCCTAAACCCTAAAACAAAACAGCTAACATCAGCTAAATGCAATCGCCTGGATGGTCACTCAACAGTTTGCTTCTCCAGGCTCCCGCAAGAGCCAGCCCGAAGCCAAAACCCTGAAGCCCGAACAGGAAAGCCTCCCTAGAATCCGGGAGCACCCTCTCATAGAGCACCTACAACTACAACTACTCGTGAATGGGAATATGAGACCCTTTCACGAGCACTGGGCAGTTTCCTCGCCTCTCCCCAAGCCTAAAACCCCAATCCTATGGCCATGGCTTTCCTCCTGACTCGATTCGGGACGCTTCTCTTGTGTGTCGGGAGCCATCCGATGGCCCCGACTTGCCATGGCTTCGGTGGCTTAGGGGAGATCCTTGGCTAGGGTTTAGGGTTTAGGGTTTAGGGGGGGGATCCTTGGCTAAGGTTTAGGGTTTAGGGTTGTGCTACAAGGACTCCAAGAGGCGAGAAGGATTACCACGAGGGTTCCATAATGATTGCTACACGGGCTTCTGCTTCAAGGGTGGCTGATATTATAGTAGGCACCCTGCCATCGTCAAAGGTTCCAAAAGGGCCTTATCAAAGCCCACGTCAATGCAGGTAGAAGGGAGGGTCTCTTGTGTTCAGATGACTAAGGGGTCTGGGTTGATAGTGCCTCCAGTTGAAATTGCTATATGTCTAGAGGCTCTAGGTTGAGGCTTTCATGCGGGCTCGGGGCTGAAGGAGTTTTGGGCTTATAGCACAGGACTTTAAGTGTGGGGCTTTGTGACTTTGGGTTTGCTTTGTGTTGCAGCTGCGGGTAGAATGCAGAAACACATGCTAAAGCCCACAACCTCTACACCCTAATTCGAACCTACAAAAGCAGAAACCCTAATCCGTCCGTCGGGCTTGGGAGGGGCTTCGTAGCATAGGATGTAGGGGCTTGGGGCGTGAATGATTACGTGCAATCTAGCCGATCTAGCCTGATGGTGTTGAGGTTTAGGCTATAGGATTTGAGGGTTTAGGATTTAGGGGGTAGGGTGCAGGGTAGCTCCTGGAGGTCGTTCGAGGCAGGTCGCCGGAATCAACGCAAAGAAGATGGTCCTGGTTACGATCCGCGGAATTTCCACAGTTTCCTAACCCTGAACCCCTGCAACCCCTAACTCCTAAACCCTAAAGCACTAAAGCCCTAAACCCTAAACCCCTACTCTTTTATACCCTAAACAAAAAACCCTAAACCTCCTAAGCTCTAAACCCATAAAACTTCACTTCACTTCACTGCTGATCGGTCCAAGTCCGGCGCAGAACAAAAAGCATGCATGCCCAAAAACGGAACTCACTATGAGCACCGCAGGCAACGAAAGGCACAGAGGCGAGAAACGCCTTAGGCGTGACCCAGCGGCTCCGTGCGAAAAATGAAGGTGGCTCGCAGAGGACGGACACAGGGAGAGGGACCTCGCGGGACCGGGGAGCACAGAGCGAGCAGCGCCGGCCACCACGAGGGCGGGCAGGACGGGTGATGAGCCGCAAAGACAGCACCTCCCGGCAAGTTGACGGTGCGGAAGAAGGCTTCAGGAAGAAGACGGCGAAGAACCGCGACACCGTCCCGACTAGGTACACCCCAGCACCAAACGGCACCTCCTGAGCAGACCCGAAGGCACACTTGACGGATGGTGACAGTGGCTGCCAAGAGGTTGTAGAGGGCGACAGGGGCCTCCCGGGAGGAGGGACACACTGATGCCACAGACGACCGAAGGACACGATAGGCAGGTCTAGCCTCTGAGTCCCATGGGTGGAAACGGTCGATCGCGTTCCAACACTTCCAGAAACGATGCCAAGCCCTAGGTAGCTGCCAAACGGTATGCGTTTTGCTCCGCACCGCCCAGAGGGGTGACGGCAAGTGCCAAGCAGCAGCATCTTCACCCCACTCAAAAATGCATTTCCATTCACAGGAATCCGCAGAAAGCGGGGCCTCGGCCGGCAGATTGTGAACGCCGGGAGACACCGGATGTGCAGGACTCCCAGATATATTCTGTGATGGCTCGACAGACGCTGCCTCCATAAACTGGGGCAAGGCCGGAGGCAAAGCGTTGACAATAGGCTCCACGGGCTCATCACGCAGGGGGGGCCCCAATAGGCCTGGACCAGCAAGATCAGGCCATTCGTATGGATGGGCCGCGCCTGTAGCAGTGAAGAGCTCATGTGTAAGCTCAGCCTCAGTGCAAGGTCGTCCTGCTTCCGCAGCGTGACGCTGAGCAGGCGTAGCATTGAGAGGGCCTGGTAGACGAATGGCCGGGACACCTCGGTGCCCACCAGGGCCGCGCCTCCGAGTACCAGTGCCGTACTGATACACCTCCCCCACCGTGACCCGCAAACCGTGCACACAAGCGGGAGAGGTACGAAGGTGGTATTTGAGCCTGTCAGAGGAGTGCATCTCCTGATGACACCAAAGACACGTCGTACCATGCGTGAATCGAGTAAGCCAATTGACTACCGAATGCTTGCGGTGTACATGAGCCGCTAGAGCATGAGCACTCGGAAGCATAGCCCCACACAGCGGACAAGGGCTGGGACTGGCCTGTCCTAGCACACGCTTAGTCTTGGAGCCCGTTAAGGCCTGCCAAAGATCGGAAAAAGCCCACTGGATGGTGCCCCAGCGGCTGAGGAAGCGACAGGCCTTAGCCAGATCCCGCTGGTGTTGGCGGATGAAGGCGAGAGAGGTTGGAACACAGTGCGAGCCGCCACGAGGGACCTGCCGGGCAACCAAACGACAAGCGTCGGCAAGAAGCTCACACCAGGGTACAGCCCTGTTCCAAGCCGCATCAAACAAATCCCATACAGCTGATGGAGCCTTCGCCACAAGTTGGGTAACCAGCCTGGCCCTAGCAATCACAACAGCGTGCTCGGGGGCGGCCAACCCAAGTAAACACAGTAATACTGTCCTGTGGAGAAGATGCCCATGTTTCCAAGAGCCACATACAACCCTAGCAACTCGCTCAAAGAGACCCTGAAGTGGAGCAGTTGCCCGATCAGACGAAGCGCACGACGTGGCTAGGGTAGCGTAGGCCGCGGGCAGAATGCGCCCCGCAACCCACGCTTGCCGGAGTGCCCACGGGAGAGCCTCGCTAGTCAACAGCGATCGAGCGTGTGCCCATGCAGTATGACCGCGTTGCGCGCTAAGCTCATTATCTCTACGCCCGGAATCCTTAGGTTGTTGAATAACCCCCAAGTACCTGTATTCCGGCGTCAGACGCAGGGTCTCCCCATTAGCAAGCTGGAGAGGCGCAGCATGTCCAAAGAGCTCGCCCCGGACCGCCTTCGCTTCAGCCCCTCGTATTTCCAGGAGTGCCTCGGTCTTCCCCGCCCCAAGGTTGACAGAGAAACGCAAGGCATGTAAAGTGTCAATGGCAATCTCAGCCACGCGAGCAAACCTTGCCTGCAACTCTCGAGGGCTGCTATAATCGGTGAGGATTGCCAAGTCATCAGCCCAACCGATCTGCAGCGGCACCTCCTCGGAACCTGCAGCAATGCTAACTGCGTGGCAAGCAAGACCCTCCTGCTTACAGGTCTCCTGGATGTGCCGCAGGGCGATCGCAAACAAGGATCCGAAGAGGACATCTGCAAGGCCGTCCCCAGGCCGGGACCCCTTTGTGGCAAGGACCATCCGGTTAGAGCCAACCAATTGCCAGTGTGCGCACGCGACACAGTCGCGGAGTAGTGCAATCTCGTCAGGGGGGACGCCTAGGAGCTGGAGCGCGCCTGCTCTCGCTAACTGATCGGTCAGCGCACACAAGTGACGGAGCCGGCTTTCATTTGGTGCCAAAGCTAACTGCCCTCCATCGAAAATGAGATCACGGCTCGCTTCATAATAAGCGGCGCGGATATCTATGAACAATGCCGCGCAGCTCCGTTGGGCAGCGGCGCTCAAGCTCCAAGCACGTATACGGAATGCAGCAACCGCGAAACTGACTGGGATACCAGGCTTACCACCAAGCTGAAGCCCTTCGTATTGGCTGAGGATGGAGTGACCAATGCCTCGACGAAGGTACCCATGGTAAACCTTGGCCATGCCATTCATCAAGGCAATAGAGCGGTAATTTTCGGGCAGAGCCGCGGGTCCTTTCTTATAGAGCGCGCAGATCAAAGCGAGTTTGAACTGTGGTGGCTCATGCCCAGTGAGAACAGCTTTGGAGCAAAGGTGCCAAAACCAATGGCCCGCCCGGGCCGGAAAATGGCGCCACAGCTCGTTAAGCACCAGATCTGGCCCCGGTGCCTTGAGCCCTTGTTGTCTCCTGCACGCGGCTTCCAATTGTAGGAGAGTAGGCACTGCCCGTTCACAGGCTGGTGCTGGGCAAGAAGCCCATGAGGCCTGGGCTATGCGGATCTGGTCGCGACTAACGAATCGACCACCTTCTTGTGCCCTGAACTGTTCTTCAAGCGCGTCCTCTATGCAGTAGCCCCCTGCAGCGTGAACGGAGCGCCTCTCAGCCGCGCGCCGCGACGCCCAGCAAAGCTTGGCGATGGCTTCCATGGCTCGCCCTTCACGGTGCCATAGCTCTACAGCTGAGGTAGTAAGTTGCAGAAAGTGCGCAACCTTATCTCGCTTAGCGGAGTTATGCGCCAGACGGCCAAGACGATATTCTTGCGACACCATAGCCGCCTCCAAAAGCCGGTGTTGGTGCCATTGGAGATGCGGAACACGAGTATCAAACCGCCGTGGACGCCAACCTTGGACACATAAGCTCAGGAGTAACCGGCATCCGTCCCGCTTTACAAGCCGAACTTGGGCCCGCCAGTCGCGAAGGAAGCTTAGCCTCTGCAGGAAAGCTTGAATGTAGGGTTGCTTAGGAGTGAGCGGTGCTTTGGCCGGCAAATCACGACGCCAGGAGTCATACTGGTCCAATAGCTGCTGAACTTGTTCGCCACAACTCCCCGTACCAGCAGCATCGACCTTGGCCCAAATAGCAGAGCCATGCTCTTGAACTTCATTTGGCGTGCACCTACGAGAGCCATCACGACGTCTAGCTGGTGCTGGGGCGCGCAGGGTCGTTTGTGCCCATACAGCAACGTGATCCTGCTGGACATTGACAATGTCGAACGCTAGGGCCTGACTCGTCTGCGAGACTTCCCAGGGACCTGCCTGAAAAAGAAGGTGGTCGAGGCGCTTACGCTTATGACTAGTATGTTGCCAGCTCCACCCCTCACCTACCTGGGTGTCAGTGAAAGTGGCGGGCACCTGCAGGCTGAATCTCAAGCACAGCTCGAGTAAGCAGTCGTCGTTACGAGCCGGCTCATGTGGGGACAGCAAGGAGCCTACCAGCCAGCCTTCATCATCCGCAGAGCAAAAGTCACCATTCGCATCTATGCCAACAACCAGTGCGCGGTTTTGAGGTGAGTTCTGTAGGACAGACGCGAGGCAATCCCAGAACCTCTTAGCCTCCTCATCAGGCCGCACAGCATGTGGGGCATGCGCCGAGACAATGGTAACCGGAAGACTGGCAGCAACACAGGTGACCGCGAGGATTCGAGGGCAGCTATGTATGATGCGCCAGTCCCCTAACTGGAGAGGGGGTGCGGTAACCTGCGGGTCAACCCAGATTTCGCATCCATACTGTCCCTTGGCAGCACCGGAACGCCAAGTAAGCCAACCGCCCCCAGCGGCCAGCGCGGCTGCGCGCCTCCTGCAGGCATAGGACACGAATCCCCAAAGAGCGGGCCTGCGACATGAGATATTGCCGGCGGGCAGCGAAGCCAGAGGGATTGAAAATAGACTGTGGCACATCTTTAATAGACTGGACATTAGCTGTGGCCACGCGAAGGGGAACGGGCTCTGGCTTGGGTGTCTGTTCCGCCGCAGGGACTTCCTGAACAGCAGGCGGCGGCATCCAGTCGGCCTTCCCGGTTCACACACAGAAAACAGGCGTACCCTCGATGAGAACTGCTCGGGGGATAAGCCAGAGCCAAGGGGCTGCAGCATGGAATTCCGCCTGCCATGCAGAGGCTGGAAGAGGCGGCCCCAGAGAAGGGCTACACAGCGCCCAAGTTGCTAGCGCATCAACAATGGTGTTCACAAAGATTCCCGAGTGACTATGTATGTGTCGAAAACGAGTGGAAATTCGGCTCTGCACAGCCTGCCAAAGAGCTCGGGTGACCGCTGCACAAGTCATTTCCGCCGAGGCATGCCCAGCAGCAACCAACATAGCAGATGAGTTATCCACCGCGATGGTGACGAGCGCGGGCATGGAGCCCATATGCAGACTCCACTGATCAAGCTGAGCCAGACTCCACATCGCAGCAGATTGCAGTGCGACTAGCTCCCCTTGATAAGATCGAGTGTCGACACCAGCAGTGGCTGCCCTATCGCTTACAGCCCAGGCTGTCCTGGGTAAGGTGTCGGCAGCCCAATCCAGGCGATGCCAAATTATGCCCTTGAACAATCCCCATGCAGCAAACGCCCAAGAGCCATCCCCGACACCACTCCCGTCAGTGGCTAGAAAAAGCTCATCTGGTACTCCGCCTGTCCACAGGGGCTGGGCCGCCCAAGCGTGCCGATAGGATGCTGGTTCCAGGAGGCAGAAAAGCGTGCTGTGGGCGCTGGTACCACGTGGAGTGCATTCCAGCTTGGACACGACAAACATCTGTCAGATCCGCACGCCATCCCTGGTCATGACAGGTCCACCGTGGGGCCCCATAAGCCGCAAGGTAAACCGCTAACCATAGAAGACCCCAGCTAGTGACCCCATCTCGGCGAGTGGCCTTAAGGCTCAAACCCAAGAACAGGCTAGCAGGCCAACCCCACGATTGTGTCTTCCTCGCTCTGCTATAAAGGGTATCGGTACCGCTTCAAGCTCCGGCGGGTCGGGATATCCACCTCGTGGCGGTGCGGCAGAGTCTTTAGGGGAAGCTCCCCGTGCTCTGTCAGCCAAGGCTGGCTCAGTGAGAGAGTGAAGGTGGAGGCAGGTCGCATCAGTGCTGCACGCCAGACTAGGCCACCACGCTTCCGGCATGGACTGCAGGGCTGGACGCAACGTGCATGCGTGAGCATCCCACAATAATCAACTCGCGTCCTCTGAGCGGCACAACACTTGGTAGTAAAGTACCACCTCGATGCAACACCACATCTCCTTCTCCTTCGAAAACCAGGTCGCGGCTCCAAAGACCCTTCGCCACAGCTTCGGAAGGACTAACAAAGGCATGTGGTAACTGGCATCCCAGTGAGGGGTTCCAATCGGGGCCACGGATTTCAAGCAGGTCACCTGACGACAAGCGAACAACTGCATCAGGAAACACCGCAGAACGAAGCGCCGGGTGATTGCCGCAGACCTGTTGAGCCATCGGAAAGTATCCCTTCAGGACCCTGACAAGAAGGCCTTTGGCAATATTGACCGGCAATATGACGGCCACGGGCTGCGGAGGCCCTACCACTAAGACTGTGACAAGATCCCGATCCGAAGGGCGTGGAACCCAAATGGTTTCTTCACTGCCTAAGCTGGGCGAGACCTGTGCGTATCCATGGTGCCACAACGGTTCGAGCCGATGCAGGGCATCGAGCAACATGCTGTCTCCCGGTATTGGCCCTAAGCGACCACGGTGGGGACTCCACATCCAGTGCCGGGTGGGAGGAAACACAGAAGATCCGACAGGCACGGCGGCGGTCGCTGCAACGTGACAGCTAAGCAAAAGGGCAAGACTGACCCAGCGAGACGCAAGAAGACAGATACCGACTACAGCGAATCTGTAGTGGGAAGGCTCCTTGGTCCTGGCACCAGACCTGTCGGCGTGATTGAAGTGGAGAATGTCGCCATCCCGTAACGGAGGCCATGCATCTGCCTCGCCTGGCACTCCAAGCAGGCGGGTAGTCCCTTCATGTACACCCCAAGCCAATGCGAACGATCTGGGGGTAAGGCGCGTATTAACTGTGTGGCAGGTACCCATTAACCTATCTCCAGTAAGCTCTTCCACTATGATGTTACAGCTAATGTCGTCACCAGCACGCAAGCACAGATGTACATCATGCGAGTAGGCCCACGGCACTGGGCCCCAGCGTCCTGGGTACCGCTGCTGAAAGTCACCGTCGAAGCTATGGCAGTTGGCCCTCCAATGGCTCCCCGGTGGCATGGTAGTGCGGATTGGCCTGTGTCCCGGAGTCCACAGCACTACAGTGATTGGGCCCTCACAACGAAAGTCTGCCGCCCATATCGCGGCAGTTCGGACAGAAAACCCATGAACAAAGCAAGGCGGATCATGCAAGTCCATGCCCAGCGGCCCCATGGCGAGAATAACATCCCCGTCCCTCCAATCGATCGCCTCATTCTGACCAGCAGCTGGCGGCGAAACCTGCACTGGCCGGTGAAGTGTGGAAACGGCATCGGGGGCAATCCGCTGAAGCAAGGCCAGCAGCCAATTGGCATCCGATCTACGCGGCATAAGCAGAGGTAGCTGCCAATCCGTTGAGACGACCATAACACAAACGAGCCTGGGGTCATCCGGCGCCGGTACAAAGCACAGGTGCGGGTGCCACAAGGCTGGCCAAAGAGGCATGATATGGGAGTGCCAGGCAGGCCCCCAACTGGTCAAGGTGATAGCAAGCTCGTCCAGAGAAGAATCAGGAGTCACAGGGACCGGTGTAGCTTCAGCCTCGAAAGGCGAGAACAGCCCAGCAGTGCCTTCCGATGCAATGGCGTCGTGACAGACCCTCTGTCCGGGCGGTACCCTCCAGGGGTACATTCCTACATTACCCGCAGCGGAAATCTGGGCTTCTCGAGGAGGGACCACCATGGCTCCACTGTGAGTGATCGCCAGAAGACAGCCTAAAAGGAAACCAGTCCTAAAACCAGCCCCAAGTGCAACAAGTAGTTCACTCAGGCGGGACCGAGCTGAGGCACGGGTGACAGGATGGAGGATGTCACCATCTCTTAAGCGACTATCAGGACTTTTAAGGCGCAGGTCGGGGCGCAACTGCCACCCTCCCGGAACATGATCACCAGGACCGGCAAGCGAGACCAGCCGGCACTCGACCGCGTCAGGTGTAGCTGGGTCATCAAGCAAAACCTGTGCCTCAGTCTGTTCAGAGCGCCGCACAAAGTGTAGTGTGTCCTGTCGTAGGCACGGAGCCGGAACGATCTTAACTGCCAATGGTTCACACCGAAAAGGGACAAACTGTGACCATCGTGGCTCCCAGTAGCTACCGTCCTCCACCCACAGGCGCTCGCACTGGTCATCAGGGTGGACAGAGTCTTGCCACACAAAAATCCAGCCTCCACGGCGGATCCGGAAGCGCATATGCCAGACATTCAGATGATTAAGGTGTGCAAGCTCAGAGACAACGTCACAGGGGCGACGCCGGAATGCACGATTAAGTTCGTCCAATTCGACTACAACGGTGTCACCATCGCGGAGTCTGAGGGTGTGGTCGTAAGGCATCTGTGGAAACCGAAGGGCAGGAGGAAGGCTCAAAAAATCGCCCGCAGCGCCCAAGGCGCGCTGACAAGCCTCAAATAGCCCTCTGAAATTAAACACCCGAGGCACGACCACAGCCCGGACGGAGTCACCATTCTGTGTGACAAGAACAGCAAAGCTACTACCGGCAAGCGGTAAAACCACCCCTGGGTCTGTGATCCGGGAAGGGCCCAAGACTATATGTCCCTTTGCCCATTGGCCACTATAAGTAGTCACCAGAGATTGCAGGGCAGAGTGCGAGGTGTCTGCAAAGGCCTGAGCACAACGGCTCCAACCATGGAAAGGGCAAAGGACATGATAGTCCCAACGCTTGCCCAATGTAACTTCCGTCAGCGGTGTCGGCAATTCTGGGCGCCAACGCCCAACTGCTGCAACGGAGCAGTCGTCCTCCTCGAGGGCGTCAGCTCCCAGCGGGGACCGAGAGCGAGCACGCATGGACATTCCACCATGCGGGGTACACGACAGCAGTGAGAAAAGCATGAACAGTGGGAAAGGCTTAGGATATAGCAGGAATCCCAGGATTCCCATACAAACCCCAGGTCGGTGCCCCCAGCTTGCACTATCCTCAGGTTCCCACGCCGCCGCGGGACGTTCAGCCATGAACTTATCGAAAATGACATCCCCATCCCGCAAATTCCACTCTTTGGCAGTGGCACTGCCCCTAAGACACACAACGTACTGGCCAGAAGCCCCCGTCCTTGTGCAAATGCGGAGGGCGATGTAAGTTTGTCAGAGACCTGAGCGACCAGCTCTCCCCCACTTTCAAGCAGTATATGGACCACAGAGGAGTCAGACGAGGCTTGGATCATATGGAGGGAGGAACTAGGGCTCCAGATCACAGGGACCCACGATCCAGCAAAAGAGTGTTGGAACGCGCCCTGAAAGGAAAGAGCAAGCGGGTCCCAGCGCGCGCCGGCCTGCATGTGGTATCGAATGGGCCAACGCAGGGAAGGCAGCCACACCATAATCCAGAAGGGGAAGGGAATGCAGAGTTGCCGCGTCCACAAGGAGCCATCTTTGAGAACACACAAGCTGGGGACCGGGGCAACCTCAGCGTCAGCCCTGCAGGTTAGCACATCGAGTACATCACCACTGCGAAGACAGACAACAGTACGGGGGCAGACGAGGCGCTGTGCGTGGAGAGAAGGTGGAAGACGGACCTGCGAAACCTCCCAGTGCGTCAGGTACTGCACGGCCCGACAGAGCTGCTCGTGAGACCCAACCCGGGGCACGAGTATGGCAATCTGCCCCCGAGAAGCTCGAGCGAGAACGCAAGCGACTCCCAGCGAGGGCACGAACACAAGTCGATCCAGCCGGTCCCCCGGCCACACTGGAACAAGTCCCTGTGCCGCAGAGCAGTCAACGAGGTAGCGCGCTGTGAGATCGCGAAGTGATAGGGAACTGGGACCTTGAAAGACCCCTTGTGGTCCGCTCCACGGGCACCAATATAGTGATCGAGATCCACTCGATCGACTAACGGGCTCCATAGTCCCCTCACCATCAGGAGCACGCCAAGGGAAATGCCCTAACGAATATGAACCGTGACGGGGATCCGGCACACGGTGCTGCATACCGTAGGCTAGCGAGAACATAACCGCACTAACCCATGGAGAGCGAAGCCCAAAAGCAATGCCAACGCTAAACCCTACGTGCAGGCGGGTCGTGGCTTGCAAGCAATCCCCATCCCGAAGGTGGACAGGCCTGTCAGGGATCCGGCTGGTAGAGTACGGCTCTCGAATTCGACCACGAGTACCTCGAACAGAGACGTGCAGCCCACGTCCCCGGATGACGGAGCGAGCTATGCATCGCGGGAACAACATGTCCCCGGAACGCAACAGCACGGCAACCTGCGAAGGATCGGCTGCCGCCGGAATTAGGTGAATGGCAGTCGCATCCGGTTGAGGGTTAATGCTAACGAGCGGCTGCCACCGCCGACGAGCAACATAGTCCCTAAGCAGCTCTTCGAAAACATATCCCGTAGCAACACAGGTGGTGAGCAGTTCACCAGATGAGCTACGCGAAAAGGGATCATGAATGTGGAGTGGGCACCCATAAGGCAAAAAGGGAAAACATTGGGCCCCTAAGTTAACCCCTTGTAGGTGGGCAGCCACCCTACGCTGCATTGCTGGAATCAGGCTACGGTCAAAAGGTGCGACATCTTCATTAAGCGAGCCCTGCACCGGAACAGCAGTATACTGGCCCCAGCATCGTCACTAGCTCGAACCGTACTCGCCAGGCCTTCACCTTCAACAGTTGTGTCCGGCGTGGGGGGCTGCACTCCACTGTAAGATGGGGAGCTGGGGGCTGACGGTTCCGCAGGCTCGACCGGTTCATCATCCACCGCCCTGGCCAAAGTAAGAGAGGCCAAAAGCCCAGGAAGGAACCCGAACCGATTAGCAACCCACAAGAAAACCAGGGCATGGTCAAGACGGTTCGAGCAACGGGTGGTAGCTGCCCTCGAATCGCCCCATTGCTCAACGCGTGTCCAGGGGTCATTGGTGGCCTCCGCTGTGGTAACAGCCAAAGGCTCTTCAGTGCTCGCAGGGTCTGCCGTGCCAGCACGCGCCTCCAGGACCCCAGCCTCCTCTAGCCTAGCAGTAAGCTGACTAACCTGCCTAGTGACAGCGGCGAGTTGTACCGAGAGGTCGGCCATGCTGGAGTGTGCATGGGGGTCGCTGACATCAGAGGCCGGGACAGAGGTGCGCCGAGCATCTGACCGCGTTGGGGGTACCGTCGGACCACTGGCGAGTATGGCCGGCTCAAACAAGGGGCCACGGCAAATGTCATAATTGAACTGCGGGATGTAATACGCTTCACGTGGAGCGTCCCAAGTGGAGAAACCAGCGCCGCTAGGCTGCGTCATCCTAACCAGAGAAATGATAGCCCCGTGCGGGGGCACCGGCAACTGGGTGCCATAGGGAAAGACGCGCCCACAATGCTGGACTCCGAAGGCGCTTTTCAAAAAGAAATCGCCCCCAAAGATCTCGGCAGCTTGCTGCGCCACCAATGCCCAGTCAAAACCAGGTGCCACAACTGCCACAACAGCGCCACGTCCCCGAAAGTGCAGCAACCAGAAAGGAGTAGGAGGCGCGACGCCGGAGGGGAGATGGAGCAGATGGGCAACCCTCTGAATACACCTCGGCGTTGTCCAAACAAAATCTCCCTCAACTGGCACCCCTCTATTAGTACGAGCGACCAATCCCGCTAAATGGGTGGGGTCGGGATTATCATGGTAAGGTACATCCAGAGGAGCACTCAACGTATGGGCCCAAATGCGCGTGACCTCAGGTCGCTGAGCTGGCCCTGATCCCCATGCTGTTGCAGGACCATGGGTCTCACGGACAGCCAAACTAGCCTGCTGCGGAGGCACCTGCATGCTTGACCCCAGGACCATGAAGGCAAGAAGGAGCCAGAGCGCGTGCCGCCCGGGGCGCCGGGCAGAGACGGATGTTGCCGCAACAGTGTGACCAATGGCGATTTCGGTTAGTACTAGTCCGCCTGCAGTGAGGTGTCCGCACACCCGCGAAAGTGGGGCCCCAATATAGGCCCGGGCACCTTGCGGCAGGGCAGCCATGCTAGCCGCCTCGGGCGACGTAATCAAACCAGCTGCTTGACCATGCGAATTGAGGGTGACCGCAATCCGATCAGCATCTTCGTACCAAAAAGCAACTGGACGCAGCAACTCACGAGCGAGCCCATCCCGGACAATCCACCAAATTGCACCACCGACCGGGATTGACAGTATCTCCAACATGGACGCATGAGAATCAAAGGCAATATGCACGATGCTCCCGAGCCCTATGTCCCGATGCTGCCAGCAAATACGCTAGCTGTCCATGCGTGACCCGACGCGGAGCCTCGAAAAGCGTGGGCCCGCCCAAAGGAGTCCAGACAACTACTTGGGCGGTATCTTGCGGAGCAAATTGCTCCAACTGCTGCCTAATGCCTTCTATGGTAACCGCAAAATGAGTGTGTCGGCAAGCAACCGCGTGGCACCAAGAGGGGCACGTCGCAGGAACAGACTCATCATCTACAGCCAGGATGGAGGAGTTAGATTCGGAATCGGTGTCCGGAGGCAACCCACGATTTCGTGCTGCCAAAGCAGGCACAGATCCAACCAACCAACTAACCACTAATCCCTTATGAAGGAACCGTCCTAGCAGGCCAATGGTGCGTGGAAGGAATCCAGACGTGGAACCAATGGGAAGAGCCTCGTCAAAGCGCCCCGCCGTGGAGTCCAGATCAGGCTCCCCGTCAAACCCATAAGAGCACGTGGGCAAGTGTGGGTCACGACCATCCTGCAACAAATGTCCACAGTGACCCGCAAAGGACGCTAGTTCATCCGGCCACTTCCAACTCAACATTATGTAGACTGCTGCCTGGCAGGTCCCATGGTGTGAGCCCGGCAATGTCAGCAACCTGTTGCCAAGTGATCTCACGGGTACAAGCCCCATAAACCCAATGCCCTATTCTAACAGCCCAGAGGTGGTAGTCATGTCGGCAGGGGATGGTGCAGTGTGTGCCCATGTGCGGGCAGGCAAGGTGGAACAAGGTGCCACTGTACTGAAGACCAGCTGCTGGCGAACATCCCTGCGCCCGCGTGCGCATCGGCAAGGAGGCTGAGAACACAGGGGAAGCGGCAGCAGGCCATATAAGAGGAGCTGTTTGCGTGGCAACGTGCCGGTGTCGAAGAGAGGGCTCGGTAGATGTTGCAGCTGGCCAACTGACATCAACTTGCGGAACTGCCTCATCCCAACTCAGGCTCCACCCGAAATCATGGGCGCGCCCAAAGTCAAGCCCAAGCTGAACCTGCACAAGCGGTGATCCGGCAGACACCCCGGAAGCAGTCGTAGTAGAGCACCTTAGAACGACGGGGTTACGAGAGAAAACCTCTTGCCACAGCCGGCCATACTTGATGTCATCCTGTAGTATGCGGCATGAAAGGGCTTGAGTGCCCGGGCCATCACGCGTGCAAATGATGGGTGGCCCTTCGGCATCCTCAATGTCCGTAAGAACAACAGTAATAGTACTATGTCCTATCCTGGGCAGGCAAAAGACATCGACCGCCGGCCGGCGTAGCGGAATGCGGTGCAGAGACACTCCATCACAGCGATGGTCCCCAAGGTGACCCCGAAGTGCACGGTACAAGTGGCTGATCCCAAAATCGCGCGGCATCCGAACGCAAATAAGCTGGAAGTCAGCAGCCGTGACATACGCAGGAATCTGCAAGTCGAGCCAACGCTCAGCGCCCAGACCAACAGTCGGGATGGAGATCTCTCCGACTTCCATACGAGGCCGCTCATCATCGGTGTGTGCCCGGAGAACATCCCCGTGACAGACGCTTTTGCCTGGAGGCGCCTCAAGCCTGAATGAGGCTCCTGGTACCAAGGACCGCAAAATGGATAAGGCAGATTGCCCAGGCCGGGCACGGGACACATCAACACAGAAGCGGCTATGTCCAGTATCCAACAACACAGTATGATGCGTGGAGTCTCTGGGCGGAGTCACAAAGCAAACACATCGGTGCAGGGGAGGCGGAGACACCAGCACAGCAGAGCCCCGCCCTAACCTACCGGCGCATTGTTGCAACAGTTCCCGGAACTGAAAGAAAGGTCGGTTGCCTTGAAGAAAGAACCTGAATTCGCCAGCGGGGCTAGCAACTGAAAAACAGAACACAGGAACCCGAGCACCCGGCATGCCACTCGCAGTGGTCCATGATAACTGCGTGAGCGAGTCAGGAAGGGCAAGGCGATAAGCCAGTCTGTAATGCGCATTTACGTCAGCAAGACCGGGCACAACCTGCTCCTCCCAATCAGACACACGGTCAGCTGGAACCTGAAAAGGGACACCTTCCTGAAAACCTGGAACCATGGCACTTGAAATCCGCAGCCAGATTACCCCTAGCACGCAGCGAAGACGTCCTTGGCAGGCCACCAGTATAGGCAGACAGAAGAGGGGACGGCGCCCCATCCACGTGAGACCTCCAGCGGCGACGGCGAGACCTCATCATGCTCATCCTCCTCATCGGAGACGGCATGATGTGGGTCAGCGGTCCTGAAGCCTGAAGCGATATTGTCTCGCCGAGCTACCACAACTATGGGCAATGGAGGCTGTCCTTGCAAAGCGACAAAGGGATTGACAATGACCTCCCTATGCAGGACCAAAAGTTCCCCTGAGACGAGCCTTGAGGTCAACGGCCTGTTCACAGAGGGGTCTCCACCCTGACTAATCGCAGTTTGGATACGCGTTGCCGGAGTGTCATACATGCTGGCTCCAAAAACATGGAGGGCACCTCCCAATGGGCGCAAGTCGACTAGTGCCGGGGGCAAGCCGTCGTGACAAAACATAGCAACAAATTGCACTGGCGGCAAATTATCGAGCGGAGGCAACAACCGCGCAAAATGCAAAGGAACCGTTGGGTCCCCAGGTGCTGATGCAAGGAAGGTATGAAGTACGGAGGAACGGAGTGTCAAATGGTCCGCGAAGGAAGGCGCCTGAGTGAAAAACAGTCCGTTGCTATAAATGACAACAGCATTGGAGCCAGCGGTATCATGCAATGCGGCCTCTGAACCCTGTGTGTAGGGGAGGCTGACACGAAACCAGTCATCCGAGACTACGGAGGGGAGCGAATCACCCTCGATAGCCTCCACACTTGATGCAGTAATTGGCCATACCTGAAAAGAATCTAGCTCTGGCAGCAAGAGCAAAAAGGAAGCAGGGCTGAACCAGCCTTTGCTGGTACGGAGTAAGACGGCCTGTTCAGAGGGAAGCCCTTGTGCAAGCAGAGCACGGCGGACCACGTCCACACAAGCGTGATCACGCCGGGCAGACAGCACCTGGATATTACCTCCGACAGGGCGCAAATCCACAGGCAAAGTGCACTGATACCACGCCACGCGTCCTGGCGAGAGGACATAGGACTCCGGAGGTGTCGAAGGGAGCCGCTCTGACAGTCTGCTGACGTGCCAATCGCTCAGCTGCAGGCCGAGCGCCGTGGGTGCAGGAGAACACCGTGTGCACGATCATCAACATGGAAGGGTACCGGCACTTGCTGACACTCAGAACAGAATACTCCTATATCCCGAATAGGAAACGGGGGGGCGGCTAGCTGCTCATGTAAGGCAGTGTTGACTGACCTGACAGGAAGTAGATCACCGACTCGGTCAGTAGCAGCAACGCCGCCAGTGGTATACACCGGCTGACCATTCCAGGTACCTTGCCGATAGACCTGAACCGCTGATCCGCCTGGAGTGCAGACAAGCCAGATGCAAAGCATGCCCCGTAGCTGTTGTCGGGAGGGTTTCCACTCAGGATCGCTCCTCATAACATGCCTGCCCATCATGTTACAGAAACCTAAGGACGGGACAAAACTGAGGAACTGCCGAGCAGCAACACAAGCCTGTCCTAAGGTGCAGCCGAAGCAGAAGAGACCAACAGAGCCTCCCCATCCGACGCCCAAGCTCAACACATGGTAAAATGCTTGACAGCAGTGCCGCGCAAGACCCCTCCAACGAATCCTCCTCAAGAGCCAGCAGACAAAAAGACTGTACACACCCACAAAAAGGAGTTTGTACACTGACCTGTATATCTCACTATCAAAGCTCAAGAGCTGCCCGGGTCGTCCGCTGGCGTAGGTCCTGGCAGGTATGGGCAAGGGCCGCTCAGTAGAGGTCGCATGGCTTCCGAAGCTTGTTGAGGTAGGACACCCCGGCAGGAGCAACTCTGCTCCAGTAGTAATGATGGATAGAGCCACTCCTGTGCTGTGGCTGGCCCATACTGTTGATAGTCGAGGATGTTGCCCAGTGTTGTCTGGAGAGCCACTACCACTCCTTGTTGGATACCCGGTAGCGCTGCCGGACACAGTCGAATGCGTTGCAGAAGCTCTTGGCAGACGAGCACTATCCCGGGGATTTGCGCCTCGGAGTTGGAGTCGATCGCGGCCCCTAAGGCAGTCCAGAAGGAAGCCGCCTCTGACTGTACTGCAGCCACCGCCGTAGGATCCGACTGTAGAGGCCATACAGCATCTTGCTCCGGGGAGGAGTCGAGCTCGCCAATGAACTCGCCGCCATTTGCCAGAATAAAGGTCATAGCTTGAGTCCAAGCACCGTGCCAGGAAACCGGGGCTAAGGCAGAAACCGAGGCTGGATCTGGCCAGAGTTCGGCATCCTCGGAAAGTTCCGTCATTGCCGGACGCCTGGGGCCTTCCGGTGTCCTTCCCGTTGCTATCCCAAGCCACGGGGCCGAAGCATCGGATCTGCCGAAATCCGTGCCCATAGCAGCAAGAGCACCGGGATCCTCGCGTCGGGGACTCTTGCTGGGCCGATGTGGCAAGGCAACATTGCCTCGCTTCCATCGCCGCTGCCTGGCTCCCTCCATTACGTGCGCAGCACCTTCGCCAAGGGGGTCTGTGACAGCAATGGCGGGCGCAGGTGGCGGCGCCAGTGGGGCAGAGACAGCCGAAGGGGCGACGGTTCCACTGACCACGCCAGGAAAGACGCTCCTTCCTGTGCTCAGTACTCCTTCTACCCGAGTGCCAGCAGCAGGAGCGCCAAGACATCCACTCCCTGTAGCCATGCCGGGAACAACACTGAATGCCCGGAGGGCGGACGCCAGTCGCAGAATCTCCTCCGCTTGCGGCTGTGTCCACACCGGGCCGAGTTTGGAGGAAGCAGCCTGAATTTTTTCCTGAGTAGTGGAGGAAGGGAGACCAGACAGAGTGGCCTCCATTTCTCTGCAAGCTTCCATCAGGTCTTCGTCTATCTTGTCGCCCAGTGCACGGACCCTCTGGACTAGGCCCGCAAGATGCAAGCCTATAGTGTTCACCCATGTAGCCAAGGCCGCAGCGAGGTCGTCTTTTGCCTTGGAATCTCCAGCAATGCGCTTGGAGAGCTTGTAAGACGCCGTGGCTTGCCGTGAGTGTTGTTGCTCGACGGTAAGGTCGCCGGGAATAGCTGCTGGAGATGCCCACAGGTCCTGCGTCGATCTTGCTGCTATTGCCTGAAGCGAGGCAATGACAGACTGAGGAAGACCAAATTCGACAACCGACGCCTGGGGAGCTCCTTCTCCAGGTCTGTTGCGGCCTTTGCCAGGTTTGTCTGGCTTGCCTGTTTTCGGCCCCATATGGCCGTGATGTCTGGCCAACCAACGGGCCTCTTGTAGCGACGCCCGTCCAGAACGTACTTTCCGAACCACTTTGCTGCGAGCCCGCCTCGCTCTCCGATGCCAGGGCGGACTGGTGTTCCTCCGAGGCTGGCGTGCCGTGGCTCAAGGCGCCACGCGACCTTGGGGATGCCTCTCCGGATCCCACCCAAACAAGCCAAATACCAAAGCAGAAAAGAGGTATTATAGGCCACAGTGTAAGGCCACGTCCCATAAGCAACACTGATCAGCCAATTTAACAGCAGTGAGCAGCGAAGCCACCGGGCAGGCAGAGGCGGCCTCCAGCCGCTGAGGAGATCTCCTCCTCTGTGCTCCAGGTCAGAAAGCACAAAGCGTGCCCGTCGTCGGGCGCCGCAAGCGCTATGGCGAGAGCGATAGCTGGGGTCTGGTACGCCGTGAAGACCCAAAACCCCTAGAGGGGACGAGGGCCTACCCACGGCTCGAGCCGAGACGCCTACCCATAAAACCCCCTAATCCCTTGTCCCAGGAGTTGTGCGGCTGCAAAGCCAGGTGATTCCGGGAAGCGCCGGGGAAGCTCTTTAAGTGGAAAGACGCTGGCGGTCAAAGTGGAGGTCCCTTCTTCCTTCTTAGGAGCATTTAAAGGGCCCTAACTAATTAGGCCGTAAACCCTAGCCCTAAACCCTAACCCTTACCATTAGGGTTTAGGGTTTGGGGTTTAGGCTTCATAAAGGCTTAGGGTTGAGGTACCTATATAGCAGCATGTAGGGGCTTTATAAGATTCGGAATCATGATTGTGAATTGGGACTCTTAGGACCCTTTGGGGGAGGATCATGGTTCTGGCGGTTAGGCATGTCTAGCATTTAAATGTTGGGGTTCCCGGATTTACGAGGTTGAGAGTTTAGGGTCGTTTCGGGTCCTCTAGGGTTCAGGGTCAGGGTGGAAGACTTTTCGCCCAATGCAGAACCCCTTGTGCCCGTGTGTTACACTGCTATCTCTTAGAATACTGTCTACCCCGCCAACCTTGAGTAATCTAGTTATCGAGGCAGTTGCTTCTAATACAAGTTGCAGAAACAGTACTTGGAGGTTCATGGGTAATGAAAAGTAGTGTTATAACTGCCCTAATCAGGGTTATAAGTATAGCTACCTTAGTTCTAACCTGACTTATAACCAACCATGAAACTCCAAGTATAGACCTTGAATCGTAAGATGCGCATTGCAAGGACCCTCCCTCAACACACCAAGGATCACAAAGGTTTGCACCTTTTGAAAGACTTCTTCGTGCTCTTAAGTTCGCGAAGCCTAAACCCTTACTTGGAGGTTCATGGGTAGTTATTACTGGGGGTCTAAGTAAGGTAACTGTACTTATATCCCTTATTGGGGCACTTACAACCCACTTATACAGCACGCCCCTAAACCTTAATTTGTAGATCTGCTCCTAGGTCACCGGCTGCTTTTCGAAGGCCTGCTGGCTGCAGACCATCCGAGTGGGCGTGGATGAAAGCAACACGGTGGGCAGTGTATCGAGGGTTGGTGTGCTCCTGGGCAAAGAAGCAGGTTGGCAACCGCTGTTTTGAAACCTATACCCTTATGAACTCACGAAGGCTGAGTCTCTAGTTCAGTTCACCTCGGAAACTGACAACTAAGTTTGCTGTTTTTGTGTTTATGAGTACGTATGTTTCGTAAACTTTACACCCCATAAGTATTGAACATGGCCATATTTCGAAACGCCTGAAAGCTCAACCGGTAAGCCGTGATAATTTACTTCACACCGGTGCACCCTCAAGCCTAAACCAATCTGAGGTACCTCTCTGATGGGAGACTCGCTGCATCTTCTCATGCCCTGCCTGTCCCGACCTCCCTGTCGGACCACTCCTGGCTGTCTTTCCAACTGCGAGGATACGACAAGGAGCTTCGGAATTTACTTACCTTTGGTTAGTAGGGAATGGGGTACAATTATAATTACTATTACTACCATTCTTCCAATCGCGCTTTCGGTAAACTTTGTCTTCCAGCAGGAGGTCACAGGATCAAGGTGGCGGGCGGATGCGTAGGGCGTTGGGCAAAGGTACGATGGCTGATGGATGTACTTCAGGTCATCGAGGTTGTTGTTCAGCTGCAGCGGCAACTTTTCGTAGCTAGAGCAAGTCAAACTCGGCGAAGAGGGCGATCACATCATCAATGTTCTCATGATCTTCTTGTTGCTATCTTCATTCAGGGTCGTTGTCATGAACACTAAGGCATGAACAACATCGAAATCGTCACCCTGCCAAGCTTTGAAGCCAACAAGACTAGCTCTTCTCTCATGATGTTGAGCAAGGCATTCGGACGACAAGCATATCCCACATACCCGCCGCAAAAATGAATACGCTCCACCATGCCCTCCATCACTAATTAGCTGTTCAGCCCCCTCTGCCAACCTGTTGTGCTGGATGTTCGCAGGAGTTGCGCACTCTGTCAGAGCTTGACCACGTCTGGCTCGTCTTCAATCCAGCCGATAGCGTCCAGCTGACCTATGAGAATGTCGGTACTGCAGCAACTCAATTGACAACTCAGACCCTGCACTGGCCACCGTAACTGCAAGTGACATTAGCATAGCTAATAAGATACCTTGCATGCCACTGCATGCTGTTGTCATGTTGTTGCTTTCCGTCTCGTCCTGTGGAGGATATGGTTTTCAAGCGGGCACCCTTCGAATTCGTAGTAAACAGAAGGATTGTCATGAATCTCGCACGTGCTCCCTACAGACAGAGAGAGAGAGAGAGAGAGAGAGAGAGAGAGGTGCACGCCTTTGTGCAATGTATACTTTTCTTTCCACTACCAAGCTGTTATGTAAAACAGTCAGGATCTTTTCAGATAGTGTTGCTTCGCAAGCTTGCATAGGCACATACCTACTTACGGACACATGTGTGCATCTCTCTCTCTCTCTCTCTCTCTCTCTCTCTCTCTCCATATATATATATATATATATATTATACTAGTTATGTGTGTATAACAGTTAGCATAATATGGGTATGTGAACATATGTGCACATAGACATGCATGCATGCATGTATTTGTGTCAGCAGCGGCTGGCTGGCCAGCCCACCTTCGTCTCAGCATGCCTGTGATTACCGGGCAGCGACTGTGCAAGCCCTGAAGTTGATGATGCCGACGAAGACCCACGATGGTGACTGGCGGCATAGCACGATCAGCCGAACCTTAGACCCGATCAGGAAATCCAGAAGACTGACTCTTATGCAGACCCTGTGGATCTGATATAGGAAATGCCCGAAATTCACAAGGGTTCTGGACCCAAAGTCAACACACCGCTGGCTGCGACAGGCTCTCTACACGAATGTCCGTCAGGAAAGCCCCGATGTTGCAGCATGGGGTACCCAAACTAGATCCCAAATTTGGCAATCTCTAAATTTACAACGCCGGGCTTGCTGAGGAACAGGCCACCCGCTACGTCTCTGAACCTTTCTCAGAAGCCTTTTCAGAGGTGGGCCGGGGATTTCCTACAAAGGCGTTCAGCCACTCATTGGCATGCACATTCGGGAAGCTAGCTTATGCATGTAGAACACCGTACTTAGACTGAGACCTGGGCAGTGAGTCAACATTGAGACATGGGCCCTGTAAATTTAGGCTAGTTTGGATCCTAATCTCGAGCCCTCAGCTCGCCTTCCAAGTATATGATTAGAACCTCTGTTGGGGTCTATGCCTTTAGTTGCTGAGGTTCGGAGGGGGGGTGTTCTATCAGCTCCTTCCGGGGTTCATTGGAAAGCGGTTGGGAAGTAAATATGTTGATGAACGTTGGTAGTTCAGGGTTTAAGACGGGTTGGAAAGAACCCTACGCCCTAAACCGCACAGTCACAGAAAGAGTCGTTAGATCCACTTGCCACCTCCTAATGGAGATGATCGCCAGCATGAGCCAGAAAGTTCATCGCATGGGAAAACGGCGACGACATGATCCTGATAATGATGTGGGTTGTGGCGGAGGAAGAGGCGGACGAGGCAGAGGATGAGGAAGGATGAGAAGAATGAGGAGGAGGAATGGATGAAGATGAAGATGCCAAGAGTGTGTACCTTGAGAGCGAAGCCCGAGTCTGAAAAAATGCCTCCCCCCCGCTCCCCGAATTCCGCTGTTTCACCCGCAGTTTCGGCGTTTCGGGTTCACGTCTTGGGATACTTGGAGGCTCATGGCAGTTCATGGGTAGTTATAATTTACGTGGGGTCAGAAGTCCCCGGTAGTTTTAGTTACCTTGCTGTAAACCCCCGTGAACCTCCTAAACCCTAACCCTTTATAAACCCTAAGCCCCGAACCCAAAGCCCTAGATCATGAACCCGAACCCCCCATGAACCTCCAAACCGGGTTTCGGGGCCCCTCTCCTCACGGCGAGGTGCGGAACTGGGATCTTGAGCCTGGCCGCCGCCAATGGGCCGGGCACTTCCGAAACCTTGCAGCTGATTTAGTAAACTGTCAACTCTTCGGGGTTCAATTAAGGGTTTAGGGATTTAAGGTTTGGGGATTTAGTTTTTAGGGGTTTAGGGTTTAGCATAGGGTTTAGGACCTGCAGCGCTGAAAGAGTGACAGTTTGTTGTCTGGCAACTAAGGAAACTTGAGGATGCAACTTGACCTGGGAGATGTCTCCATTTATCCCGGCTTCTCGGATTTCAGACGGTCGTTCTCTCTGGGCGTAAAGGTTGAGTTCGCTGGTGCTTTCCATTATACGTATACAAGGGTCCTCTCTGGCATACATACATCGTAACAATAACATAAAATAATTACCTAACATAACATAACATAAGTTAATACAAATATAATATACATATAAATATAATATGATATAGTATAGTAGTATGTATATATATATATATATATATATATATATTATGTATACACATCCACACGCATACACATTTAGACACAGAGGAATGCGCTTGTTTGCGGTGAAATGAAGCACTGGGTGACTCATGCATTGATTGGTCCAGTACCTGTTTGTTTGTTCTTGTTTCTGTTGGCCAGCTTCACTGTTGATGCTTGTTTGCAGTATCGTTTAGTTTATACTGTAAAGATTGAACCACGTAGACTACACTGGCAGTGCCAGCGATATTGTATCGCATCTTAGGGCCAGCATCATCACTGACTTATTCTGCTTCTACGTCTGACTAACTAATTAAGCTCTTGGCCCACGCAATTTTTTACTGCTTGACGCTTGTATTATGTGGGGCTCCAGTGCGATGTACAAGCTTTCCAAGATGCGCGGAGAGACTGATGTATTGGGTGCGTGTCGCTAGCAAGATCCTCAACTCTAGAACTGTAGACCCTGACCCCTGGAACCCTAAAACCACAAACCCTATAAAGCCTAACCCGTAAGTCCCTAAACCCCAACCCCTCAACCCTAAACCCTAAGCTCTCCGACATGAAGTCTCCAAAGCATCGACCGATCCGAGCCGTTGTTTTGGGATGCACTTTCGGGCATAGTCTTCTTCCTGAAACCCCTGTTCAAGGGGGTGAAGGGCTGTGGACAATCTAGTCCTCCACAAGGCTAAACCAGCCTAACCCTAAGCCCCAAATCTTGCACCTACTCTAACCGTTTGAAACTGAGTCCTAAATGCCAGATTTGGGGGATCATGTTGTCCTCCTCCAAGTCTGGTATGAGGTCTCGAAAGTATGCAATGCAGAATTCGAGTCACAGAGTAGTATTTACCACAATCTGATCTAAGATTCTACATGCCAACAAGCCGGCTCATCCCAAACGCATGGAGAATTGCCCGACATCGTCTGAGGACGAAAAGGCTAAACTTAAAAGGCCAAGCCCTGAAATTTCACAGCACTGCACAGTGGGGTGTCCGAAGGGGCTTACTTGGAAGCACTGCGCTTTATCAAGCATTGGCGTTGCGATCCTGTACCTGTGATCCGAAACCAAAGCTCTGAAACCCGGTAGCCAAAGGCCTAAACCAGCGCACGTTCTGAGAGCCCTGTTCATTAATCTCAAAACCTCTAAGGAACCAAGAACCACATGAATGCTACTCCCGGCTAGTCATGCCAATAGCTGCTACTTGTAGCTACCTTCTACAGATCATGCTTGTGTGGTCTTCTGCGCTCTTGATATGCGTGCATCAGGACCAAATCCTACAACTTGCAACCTCCACTCAGGCACCTTGCCGCTGATTCTCGAGGCACCACATGGAGGCGGGGCTTTTTGATTTTAGAGGAGCTCTAATCGAGAATCGACGATCGGTGAAGGTACCTTCTCTAACGGATTCCTAGTCAGGGACTACCGTAAGCACCTTTGGTCAGTAGGGAGTGGGGTACAACTACAACTACTATTACTACCATTCTTCCATTCCCTACTAACCAAAGGTAAGTGAGCCCCAACTCAAAGCAGCTCCCTGAAAGAGGCCGCATCAAGGAGGGCTGGCCGGCTCGAGCAAGTGGTGTCTTGTTTGCCGACACGTACCTTGGGTGCGCTTGAGAATCCTTCTCGGGCAGAGTTTAAGCTTTGCCCATAGGCCCCAAAGTAGTTCCTTTTTGTGGTTCATATATAGAATCCTTTAAGGTAGTCCCAAAAAGGAACTACTATGGGGCCTATGGGTAGTGCCCTTTTTGTAGTCCTAGGTTCCTTATAAAGTTACGAAAGACCAAAAAGGATCCTAGTAAAAGCTCTGGTACTCCGAAGCTCTAATCTCCCGGCCTCCTTAGACCCAGGCCTCCATCAGCCCTAAACCCATAGGATCCTAGAAGCCCTGAACCCTTGGGATCCCATGAGTTCCTGAAGCCCATGCCTCGTTGTGTAAGGTCAGCCCTATCGGAACCCCGAATAATGAACCTACAAAGGTAGGGTCTCTGGATATCCTTATGTAGTGTTATATGTCCTTAAAAAAGTCAGGGTCCTTGTGTTGTGGGGTTCAGAGCTTCTACACCCGAGGAACACCGACATCTTCACGGAGGAGCTTTACTCGGAGATTGGCTTGCGCTGTTCTGGCCGATTTCCCAGGGCGATCGTCTTTCGTGTGCACCGGCAAGGCAAGGCAAGGGATGGGTTAGGTACGGTGTAGGGTGTATAGGGTTTAGGCGTTTAGGCTTTAGTGCCTCGGGGCGTGACAGTTTAGAGTGATTTAGGGGGTTAAGTTTTGGAGTGGAGTGTTAGGGCTTAGGGGTTACGGGTACATGTCAAACAGTACGGCTTAGCTGCCTTCAGGGTTGGCGGAGGACATTTCAGGCACAGCTCGAGGGGCCCCAAGCAGGGGCTGGAGTGAACAGTAGGGTTTAGGGTTTAGGGTTTACAGCGCTATCGATACACCCTGCCCATCCCTGCCCTATACCACCTGCATGTTCTTCATATAAACCAATATGGTCTTGATTTTAGCTGCAAAACAAGGTGGACGCCACGGCGGTATGTGCTGTAGTCATGACATGGAGGCCACAAATTTGGATTCGGGTTGGAAGCTACAGGGCTCCAATGAATGATTAATTGGTCAGTGCAGTCACAGCTTGTGAACAGGGTTTGGAGATGGGCGGTATTCCTATGGTGGCTGTAACTTTTGCAAGCAGAGTTGAAGTAATCTCGATTATAGGGACACGCCCTTTCAGTCATGCCTTGTCCCGGAGGGACTAGCAAGGAGTTTGGTATCAAACACCCTTTTTCAGAGTATCGTCTTCCGGATATGTCGTGACACCCGAGTGAACGGACATGCCACGGAACCATTGACCGAAAAGCCCTCCCGCGTGCATGTCGGCATCCATACAGTTTGTATAGCCTCTCCGTCCAGCTGTCACACCCCAAAAAGCTGTAGCTACTTCATAAAAAATATGTAAAGTCCTTCAGAATGTCTCAACATGCTTAAATGTTGCTGTGCTAAACCCAATTACCTTATCATTGGGTCCTTAGGGACCGTTGAAACACACTGTACACCCGCAGAAGCCCCATAAAGCTCTGATAATTCTGACCTGTGGACCTCACCGCCCGTGACAATCCACGTGTTCGGTCTATTTGAGGTTTTTGGGTGTTAGCGCTCGGGCTTTTCAGGTTTTTGCTTGGGGTTTAGAGTAAAGGGTTGTTGAGATTCTGTTGCTGCTGCTCCTCCTCGAAGATGGCTAGATTGTCAATTGGAAAATACGGCCTACGGTTTCGGGTTGAGGGCTTTGGAATGAAGGCCGAGGATTTGTTCTAGGGGTTTAAGGCTTCGGGTTTGCGGACCTGAGTTGGGATCCAAGTCCAAGGCTTTAGATTTTCGTGTCGGGGCTTCGGGTGTAGAACGCCGTCACGTCGTCAGGCATTGATGCCAATCGGGCCACTGGCAATGCCAGCCTGACTTTCCCAGAACTGGAATCATGCATCAGCGAGAGTGGCTTCGCACGACTGGTTCTGAATTTTTGTTGCTGTCGGGATGAGACCATCATACACAATCCTGACCGCGGGAGAGTTCAGAAGTTGTGGCCTGTCTTTAGAAGGTTTGCTCTTATGCTTGCTCAGGCTGTCGAGTCTTACTTTCTTTTGATGAATTTAAACGGGTTGCACACTGAGAAGCAATCCGGGGAAGTTGATTGGACCCTGCCTATATGAAATTTGAACCACAAGACATAGAAGTTCCAACCCAACATGCTCTATGCCTTTATTTACCAGCAAAGATAAATCACAACGCCAAGCGCTAAATCCCGAATGCAATCGTGAAGCCATCTGAAACCCTCACAAGATTTACCACCCTGATCTGTGACTCGCCGACCCGCCATGCCGGGGCGGCCGATTCAATACGGGACAGCCGACATGCGTGTGAATCTAGCGATTGCACAGTAAGGCCATAGCAGGGTCCTATTTATCTGAGGAACCATGGGTTTGCTGTTCAGTTTGAGCTTTATCTACAGAATTAATTGGTTTGCTGCATAACACGAGGTATCGAGCCCAATTTGAAAACACCCTCGCTTGGACTTTCTACTTGCACCTTTAACGCTTTTCATCCGGAATCCTACCCAAAGTTTCCATTGCAATTCCTGCTCGGTACGTTTTGTGTCGGATCCTAACCATCAAATTGGTCAGCCCAGAATGGGATTACGATGCGACTATGGGCAATTCTTAAAAGCCCTGTACCGTGAACAATACGCATGCCGATTCCTGAATCCAGAGATGGAGGTGTGGACAATTGCACATGGGATCCCTTTAGCTGCAGTCCGAGTATAGATGTGTTGTTAATGATGATCCCTGTAATTAGTTCTAAATATCAGAAAAACAGTATGATTTCTGTCCTGTAGTCCTAGTTTAAACATAGTAATTATGCTACTACTCTCAAGCCCTGTCCTCTGTTGTACATTGAAGCCCGATGCAGTCCGAAACAGCGCTATTTTAGACGTGTTCTGGTTCGATCATCGTCTTATAGAGGTAGCTTTATTCCGCATGGCTCCTGGTTCTACTTCCTCCCAAGCCCCTCTCTTGAGATGCTTAAGGATCCTACACTATGCTTAGTGGTACTTAGAAATAATTTGTGAATTTTGGTTAATATAATCCCTAAGAAACAGCTAAACTTAAAGTTTTTGCTACGGTTCTAAGTTCAGTATAGTATACCAATCTGAGGCAATGGGCAATGCTGCTGTGACCTGCCGGACGTCGCGGACGCAGATGTAGCTATGAATCTCGGCCCAGGCACTCTTAGCTGTTTAGGGTTTAGAGCCTAACAGCCGCTGTGAGGGTTTATAGGGTATGTTGTGGGAATCTAGATAGTCCCTGAGTTTCCTGAATTCGAAACCACTCACGCCTAGGCCCCAGCCTAAGCCAATCCCGCCAGAACTTGTGTGGGAAATGTTTTTTGCCCTGCTCCTGAAGTCTATGGATTCCTTGTGGTCAATGGTGGTCTCCGGGTGATCGGGTCTCTCCTGGTTGTCTTTTGTTGGTCTCCGCACGCTCTCCGGTCATGGTGGGCGTGGTCGGTCACGTCGTTATGTTGCTTTATCTCTTTCTGGGGACTTGCGTCGACATAATCTTTTTTCCAATGTCCAATTTGTAAGCATTCAACCAATACCCAGAAGCTTTGACGTTTGTTGGGATATAGAGTTTTCTTAGGCTGCAGGGTTCATGAATGCCAGCTTGAGTGGAAAATCGTGTATTTTGGGTTTAGGTTTGAATGAAGCCTATCTGGGTTTAGGGTTCCGGGCAGCCTTCAGAATGATGTTCGCGCAATGCCCAGCCCAACCAATGAGCTGTTTACTCGTCGAGAAAAAGCACAACCGAAAGCCACAAATCACGAGGACGTTGAATGACGTCTACCACGAGCTCTTAGCGGAAGTAGTCTCCGGTGCTCCCGGCGCTCTACTGGCACCTCAGCTCACTATTTCGGGCCTGCAGACTTGTCTCTAACAGTTCCCAAAGCCCTGAAGCCGCTGTTCGAGCCGAAGTGCTTTCGAGGATTTGTCATCAATGGAGGGTGTGTGCTGATCAGGCGTCTACATTATATACAATAATTCAACGGGAACCATAGCTTAGAATCGTTGAAATCTGAAGCAGCACGCCTGACATGTGAATGCAAACAGCCTTTCGGCACTCCAAGGAACCCTAAGCCCTACAGTCCCTGAACCCCAAACCCAAAACCCTTAAAAAAAACAAAAACACCCAAAACCCTAAACTCTCACCCTAAAGCCTTGATGAGGTGGCGATTCACGGAACTAGCCGGCATCGGGTGGAGCTGGGACTTCGCTTGTCGACCTCCTCCTTGAACGAAGGATCGGCTTGCTGTAGCATATATATATATATATATTATTTGTGTTTTTCTGTGTGTGCGTGTGTGTGTGTGTGTGTGTGTTTGTGTGTATAGATGGATGGATGGATAGAATTCTCACTCCGATGGCCCTGAAACGCTCATTGAAGCCCCTAAAACCCTTTAAGCATCCAGCGCCTACACGCACGAAGCCTAGACTGAACACTAAAGGAATGCAGTGAACCCCATCCTTCAGCCCCCAAACCCATCTCTCTCTGTCTGTCGAAGGAGCTGGCAACGTCCCTCCGTCCCTGCGTCTTGCCTCAGTTTCTTACGATTCATGGCAGAGGGAATAGAGATGAATAGAGAGTGTTTACTTGTGTTTCTTTAAGGGTTTCGGGCCGGCCAGGACGTGGAGGGTTTGGGTCAGGGCTGACGATTAGGGAGTCTTCCCTTGGGGTGTATACAGTCTTTGGGATTCAGGTTCAGTAGTTGGGTGTAGGGTGAAAGGGTTGTGCAGATGTCAATGTTGCAAGGGTTGAGTGCTGTGCATGTTTAAATTCCTCTAAACGACTACACATACGTGTACACACACACCTATATGTATGTATATATGTATGTATGTATTTATATATTTACACACACGGCATTTATTCTAGGCTTTTGGTAGGGCTCCTTACCGTATTACCACACATCGCTGTTACGATCTACTTTTTCAGAGACTGCGGGGATGCATTGGGAGTTAGGAGAGGCACTCGTGGACACTGTGCCCAAGAGATCCCCTGGGAGAACCTACACTACACAACCAAGTAACTTTAACAAGCTGAAGCAGACATGAACAAATCAGTATACATATATACATGTGTCTCTACATGTATATATATATATATATATATATATATATATACATACCTGCGTGTGTAGTTGGTTAGTTATCTATCCATCTACCTATCTGCGCATATACATTTACATTTGGATTTGTAGTAAGGTTTGTACAGGTGTGTATACAAACAGATGTGTATTATATATATATATATGTATGTATGTATGTATGTATGTGTTTGTACATCTACGACCAAGAAAATGTCAGTATACATAGTATAAATGTGCGTATATGTATATGCGTGTGAGTGTATATATGTATACACATATGTATAGGTGTGTATATATATATAGGTATATATACACACATATTACACCAAGAACAAATAAATAGTTACGTGCATGTGTGCATGTGCGTGCACACACATACATGCGTACACATATATACACACAACGCAGACGCCCGTTGTTCCAAACAGCAAGCATGAATCTTCAGGCGTGCCTGTGATTGACTTGCAAACATCTCTCAAGATCTACACAGAAGTCCTGCCCGAAGCCCTCAAGCCGACAGCAACATCGGACACACCCAGCGACAACTCCTCAGAGTTCAGGAACAGAACTATGCTAAAAGGCCCCTATATTCCTTGGGGCTCCGGGACATACTTCTACAAGCTAAACTATTCGGCGCCTATTTTCCTCAAGGCAGCAGTACGACGCCCGCTCGTCTCTACGAGCTCTTGGGAACGCCACAAGCATGGCATGGGGTCCCAAAAGCCTGGGAGCATTCCTGGCGACGGCCAACCCCTCCCTGGATGCTCAGACTGATAATGCTGTGTTTGGTAAGTGTGTGCATATATATATATATATATGTACGTGTATATACTTATACAGAAAGGATACTGGTGTACAGTATATAGTACATGGCAAAGAGCACACAGTACGTAGTATATAGAAATATCCAGCATCTCTTGTATGGTAGTCCATTTTCTAGAACACTGTAGATCGATCCATACTACCAGAAAGAGAAGATGCGACGCCACGAACGCCGAATCCCTCAAAGCTGCAGGGTTGATACCCCGGGGCTGCAGAAAACAGCCCAAAATGCACATCTGAAGTCTTGAAGCCCCGGGTCCACCCAAACTATATAAGCTTCAAAAGCAAGGCTTCGTTACCGCGTCAGTCTGAGTCCGAGCATAAATTCCCAAAGCATGACTGAGCCTAAGGGAGGCCGCCAGCTCCACTCCAGTTTCGATAATATAGGGGCCTTAATCATTACCTATACTAATTAAGGGTTCCATAGTATAATGGGCCCCAACACTCTAGTCTAATTATGAAGGCCCCTATAGTATCTGGGTAGATATTGTGGGGGGTAGTTTATGGCTTTACCTACAGTGACTCATAAACCCCTGAACCAAGTTGCCGAAGCAGCCGGACGCGACCAACCGAAGTAACACGCGAGCTTTGCAAGTTAAAGTCTTGAGCCCCTCCAAGAAACCAAGGAAGTGATCCCTTCTCCGGAGCTTCCGTGCCCGGATCCTGACACATGCCCGGGATCGACATACGAGAGCTACTTCATGGGAGGCTCTTTCCCCAGCATTCCAGGACCTGAATATTAGGGCTCTTGTGCTACGTATCCTTGGGCTTCGAGTGCCTAGAGGTTTTAAAGGAGGTTTGAACTTAGGGCTGGGCTTAAGGGATTTATGGTTGCATATAATAATAGTTAGTCCTTTGGGTTTTTTGGGAGAAGCTCTCGGAGAAGGCAGCTTCATCAGCCAAGTAATCCTGAACATGTGCTTTTGGGCTTGCAACCTGCGATTCCAGCATGAGCCCTCAGGATGCGCAGTTTGGAATCCAGCGCCACAAAAATCACAGAACCCTCAAACTGACGTGTGTGAAAATCTTATAGAACTCGAACCCCTCTGCTCCCACATCTCCGAAGTCCTCGAACCCCGAACCCGGTGGTCTCGCCTCCGTTCTGGGGCTCTGCACTCTTACGCAGCTTACGCCATGCTAGGGGCCGTGCTAAACTCAAGGGTTGACATAGCACTCAACGAGCGGGGTTTTTGAGGTTTCGGGCTTTTTAGAGTTTGAGGGCTTCAGGTTTTGAGGGCTTTTAACTTCGGCAAGCACCGCCAGAGCCTGATAGAGCCCTTCTGAAATCGTGCAAACGCTCTGAACTAGCTTCGTTCCCGCGATGTGAGGCCACAATCTGAAGATCCACGTCTCAGATGACTCTGGGCCGTTGTTAAGGTTGCCGCAATAAGCGACTTCGTATGATGTATCGCATACCCGGGCTACAAAAAGCCTGTCTCAAGCCTTTTAACAGTCAGTCATCAAGACGCAAAGGTTGCATATGCATTTACACATATACTTATACATAGACATAGACATACGCATAGACATAGACATCCACATATACATGTACATACAGTTACATACACACACACACACACAAATGCACACTCGCTTATCTACATAGCTGCATATAATGAAAGCAAGCTAACCCTATAGGAGCCGAGTTGGAGAGTGGGCCACTGCTTTTCGGAGTCGTATAGAGTACCCATAGCTGCTGGGATAACCTGCATCAAAGTCATTTCAAAAGCCGTATAAAGCCCTTAGGAAGACCTATCAGGTAGTCCGATCTCCGAACCGCCAAAGCCCTCAAACCTAAGCCTACACATCCGAGACCCTGAACCCTTGAGCCCTTGCCGATCACCCTGCAACCTACACCTTAAACTCCAAACCGGACACCCAGAACCCTGGACCCCAAACCCCAAATACCAAGCCCCGAAACCCTAAACGTTTAAGCCCTAGACCCCAAATACCAAACCCCAAAACTCTAACTCTAAAGCCAAAATGCGTAGAAAGAGTTGAGGAGCGGGCCGGACTTCAGGTTGAACTCCCGAAGGCTCGATTTTTTCAGAGCAAGGGAGCTTGAAAAGACTCCGATAGTGTTGGAGTTAAGGTTTACGGGTTGGGGCTCTATAAGGGTTAGGGTTAAGGGGGTTCAGGGGTTTAGGGTTTAGGGTTCACTTGTGTGTGTTTCTTTTGTTCGGGGCCCTTGTCGCGGTTTCTGCAGTTTCTTCTTTGAGCTGGGCTGTTGCAGGGTTCTGTAGGGTTCTGATTGGATTTTAGTGTCTGTGGGTGTTCAGTGGCTCATTCAGGATCGTTTGCAATGGGGCCCTATCGTAGACCACTCTATGGTGTTTTGTGATGTTACTTTTTGCAATGGGGTTCAATCGTTCGCGTTTCAAGCAGGGTGTTTACAAGGGCTCCGTTGGGTTAACCTGGCTTTACCGGTTTGCAATGGGGTTGTAGCTTCGTGATGAGTTTTTTGGTGTTGCTGGCTTCCTTACTTGTTTTGGTGTAAGATTTCTTCATAGGGTTTTATAGGCTGATCCTAGGCGTTGAAAGTACGGGCCTGGGCAAATAGAATAGGGCTTGCGGGTCAACTATAGCTCCTCTGTATGTTGACGATACATGGCTGTCTGTTTTTCGAAGAACTGATGCCTTCAATGCATGCACGCCTTGCATGGTGTTGCTTCTCAGATAAGAGCTGGATTATTGACTTAGATTCGTTGCCATACCATCCTTGGCTTTACAACCATAATCCGGAAAGTCCTGACATCTGAAACTCTGACATTGAGACTCCAGGACTCATGCTTAAGGCTCTTGCGCCCAGAGACCTGACCATGGAATGGAGGGGTTGTTGGGCTATTGCAAACGTACGTTGCTCTGAAACTGCGAAGGACCCGTACTATTGCACAGCCGGAAAAGCGCATGGCTTCAGGCCATGAGGGGCTTCGGCTCGTCTCCACCTGCTCCCCTGGCTCCTTCGATCAAGCAGCTTGGCGCTGCTTTTGCTTCCTTCCTGAACGCCCACTACGAGGACTTGGTGAGGTATTTAAGAGGTTTGGGGTTCCCGGCTTGGAAGCAGAGTTCCCTAAACCCTAAACCAACCCTTAAACTCAAATACCTCCTACATTCGAAGAGGGGGCCCTGGGACTTGTCCTTAGCCTTGGAGCCCAGGCTCAGGGAACTATATAGGGGAGAGGGGATTGCAGGACGGGTTCAATTCTTGAGGTTTTTCGAAATTCAAGTCATAGGGTGCTCTGTGAGCCATGCATATCACAAGCACGAATTCCTTACCTGAGCTTCCGAAATGTAACGCCACAAGCCCAGGACTCTGACTTTAGGGAGTTTCGCACTTTGGGTGGGGTGAGCCTGGCCGAAGGAAGATTGTGAGACAGATGTCAACTTTGGTTTGGCATGTGGCGATCATGGTGTTGCTGTGGCTGGCCGCTGTGTATGTGATGCGGGCTATGAAGGTGAGGATTGCTCCGGATGCTCTCCGGAGCACATTAGGGCGGCCGCGCTGATTGAGCAGCATTTTCACGGATTGGTTATCCAGTACCTAGCGTGCTTATCATCTCAAGATTTCCCACAGCTCGAACCATAAACCATCAGGGTTCCCGAACATGGTTCAGGCATAGAAATCCCGAAATCCTAGTCCCATTCTTCAGCTTCTATACTACTCTCCATATGGTGATGTTGAAGGAGAGCTTCGATGCTGAAATCCTAGAAGGGATCATAATGCCAGGACCCGAACGTACACTGCAGGGATCCCCAAAAGCTAAACCCCAAACGTGCTTTGTTGAAGCAACAAGCCCCGAACCCTTGTAGCACCCCATACCGAATACCTGTGTCCTGCCATGTAATGCCTTTACGTTAGCTATTCTCCATACGATGATGTTCAAAGCAGCTTGGATGCTGGAATCCTGGGAGGGGGGGATCATGATGCGCAGGGCGATGCTGTGCATCTACAGGTGGAAGATTCAAATCAATCCCGGAGCCGACTGCAAACCCTTGTAACACCCCATACCTGTGTCTTGCCTTTTTGTGCCTTGTTGTTAACCGACTGCTAGCCCGTGTATGAGAAGAATCCTTCAACACCGAAGCCGTGAAACACGAAACAACAGACCAATTGTGGTCCAGGCATCGCTTCTGTTTAAGAAGCACCCAGGTGGGTTCTCAGTGCCTCAATCTTGTTCTGCTGGCTCCTCCGGCTGACATGACGCAGAAGTTCGGCTCGGCATTCACCACCACGAGCTCTTTGGATAGAGTGCAAATCTTTAGTTTAGGGCTCTGTCTTGTTTTGTGTAAACCTTGTTGTTGTGGGTTAAGGTCTTGCGGATCCGGGCGACTTCGGCTTTTAATCGACTATGTTATATCCCGTCTACAACCCGGCTAATATGATAATCGAGTGCTCTTAGGGTTTGAGCTTGTTCTTGACTATGATCCCCTCATCTGTATAAGCCCTAGACCCAAATATAGAGTTGATTGAAAGACTTATGCGCCTAAACCCGAATGACGCAGCTTTTTTTAAGGGCTCAGCTTGAGGAACCCTAAAGCGGTAGGTCTTATAGGGTTCAGGTAGATCCTGAAGCCTTGAACGCCCAAGGTTCTGGCAGACGCTACATGTACACCCGGAAGTTCACTACCGACTTGACACGCTGTGGTGTTGCTGGCTGCCGACCTTTGAACGTGAGCCTCCGTGTGAGGTTGGGGGGGGGAGTATGGTTCTCTATCTGTCTATCTATCTAACTAGCTATCTGAGCCATCTAATTTCCTATCCATCCATTCCCGCGTATTGAGCCACACATGCCTAGTATATGTGTGTGTGTGTGTGTATGTATATATATATACACACACACATATATATATATATATATATATATTTATATTTATTTATGTACAAGACGTATATGCGAAACGCCGGAAACGGTACATGCCAATCAATAAGTATGGCTCAAAAAGGCAGACGCGCAACGCATCACACATGCATGGGCCTGCGCAAACAAACGAGCGACAAGCTGCACCTATCCATCTATCTATTCATTCCAGGTGTTTGCTTATCTCTTTCTCGCCTTGTCCATCCCTATACTGATTGCTCCTCCTCTTTGCTTGTCCCTGTGTCTTTGTGGTTTTCTCTATGGTTGTTGTTCGCTCTGGTTTTCTCTCCTCCAAAGTCCCCGGGTCTTTAACGCCCTGTTCTAGGTGTGACAGCAGTCAGTGCCACAGCGATGTGGACGATGCCTCCTACACCATCGGCGCCGCCCTTTACAATTCCACGGGGCACAAGCTGCTTGGATGCAACAGGATTTCCAGTTTTTGTTGTACAGTAGCTGCAGAACTGCCATGACCCTTCCATCCCGGCCATGAGTCGCGGTTTTAGTTTCGAAGTGATACGGGCGAATTGAACGAATGACTCAGGCTTTGCAACGGGACGGTGGACCGAACCGTCGAAACTGAAATCGATTGGTGGCTTCAAGTTCCAATTCCTTCCTGTCCACTTCTGCGTGAAGGGGCCCAGGTGCAAGGGCCCACCCATTGGGTTTTGTACGTTTATGATTGAGGGATTCGGAGTTCCTTCAAGGTTCGGTTTTGTTTTGTGCAGCCTCTTGGTCGGAGCCGGGTGTAATGCTATCGGGGAATTGAGTTCCGAGTAGCAATACGAATTTATAAAAGGTAGTTGTCTTCTAATGGTTCCTTACTGGGCCAAAGGGGCTTCTGAGATAGCTTCAACGAGAAAACCACAGAACCAACCCCAAACGGCTGTAATCATAGCAAAACACGGAGCCCAAAAGGAGGTCAAACAAGCAACGCAACCCGGAAGGACACTAACCCCTAAACCCCTAAACCTCTAAACCCCTAAACCTTAAACTCCAAACCCTGACATAAACTCCCAAATCCTTAACTAAGCCCCTAAACCCCAAACCCCAACATAAACCCCTACACCCCTCTGCACCAAAAAGGCGGTCTACCTATCGATCTGGACCTCCAAGTTGATCAAAGTGCGCTGGGAGCAGACGCCGGCACCGGCGGAGATCAGCCGTGGGCTCACCTACAGGTCGGGCCTAGGGGCTCTATATAAGGCTTCAGGGATGAGGGGGTGAGAGTTCAGGGGTTGAGAGTTCAGGGGTTGAGAGTTCAGGGGTTGAGAGTTCAGGGGTTGAGAGTTTAGGGGTTGAGAGTTTAGGGGTTGAGGGTTTGGTTTTGCAGAGGTGATCGAACTTGGAGCCTTACTTGGGTGTGGCACAAAGCGTGTTGTTGAGAGCTTGGGGCGGCGCCTTTCCTGTAGTTCAACCGTAAGCCCTCTTAACCTTCGAGCCCTAAACTCTGCATAAATTGCATAATCCAAGTTTTATAAGGCCCAATAGAACCCTCTACTCGGCGAATCATAGAAGGATCCTTCTTGTTATTGTTAGAATCATCAGTATTTTCCTTATTCTAACTATTATTAATGTTGCTCTTATTCTTTGTAGTAGCTTAGTCTTGTTGATAGCTTGTTGATAGTACATCATAATCTTGTTGATATTAATGTTGCTCTGATTGTTATTGGTATTTGTACGATCATGTTTAGTCATTCATGTTATTGTGTGTGTCGATGATGCTTACTGTTAGCACTATCACGGTTGATGATACAAAACCTGCATAACCTTAATGACCCTAAACTATGGGAATGATTCGGAATGATGTCATATATTCTGTATTATGGATAACGCAGGATTTATGTCATCAACCGTATTGCAATTCGGAAAAGGAGCTTTGGGGAGTCTCTTGGTAGGAACGTGGGCCCAGGAGCGAGACAGATGTGATACCTCCTGCAGAGCTACCAACTTGGAGAGACGTACCCTGTGAAGGCGCACCTTGTGATGGCGACTTGTTCTGTTCCATACACCTATACTTTCCTCATTATAGATATGGGAGTTTCCGACAATTGGGGCCCTTATAATAGGGAGACCTATACTGTCCGTGTCCGTATTATAAATATAGTATAATATCCCTCAAAGCCCTATTCCAATTATTAAGGCACCTTGTGATAGCGACTTGTACAACTTCCTATACTAGCTTTGAGGTTTCCTTATCACAATCACAGTATAATATCCCCCAAAGCCCTATTCTAATCATTATTAAGGCACCTTGTGATAGCGACTTGTACTGTAGGTTTCCGGGGTTCAGGTTTTAGTCTCTTTAGGTTTGGTGTGCAGGAATTCAGAGGCCAGGGCGTAGATCGTGGAGGTCCATGGGTGGTTCCCAGTGGGGTTATAGGTAAGGTAACTGTACTTATATCCCATAGGGGACTCATAGCCCCACATAGAACTACCCATGAACCCCCAAGTACCGGCGCTGGCAAAAAGTGGTAACCGTGTTTCTCAAGGTTCCCTTCTAACCTCTTGACTTTCGGTGCATAAAAACCTGGGCCTCATTGGCCTAGCGTAGTTGGTTTAGGCTTCTTTTGTGGTTGCTGCCCCTGTTCCTTTCCCGATGCCCTCACAGTATTATTCAATACAGGGCTGGGAACCACCACTACCCCCATATAGTCGCCATGTCCCACAAAAACCAAGGCCTGTTCCATTTTTCGGACCTCTGGGCAGAACTCCAAAGTTCAGAAGCTCACAAGATCCCGGTATAATCAGAGTAATCGGGTGTGGTCTTCACGACCCATCTCCGGTTCGAGACTATTCGGAGTCCCTTGCGTCATTCCGGTGAGGGTGGTGGCTATGTCATGGTTGTTACTAACATGGTCTGAAGCCCACACCTTGAATCCCTACACCTGGCCCTTTTGAGGAGCTTAGGGTTTGCGGTCTACCTCAACCCGGAAGAATCTACCTTTTCGGGGACTTATATATGGAAATCATAATAAGGAACCCCCAAAAAGTAGGTTATTCGGGGTTAAGGTAGGGCTCAGTGTGTCAACGACAGAGGCAGAAAACACCTAGGCCAGCAAAGCTGCGATTGCATCACCGGGTGCACCTGTCGCAGCTGGAGTCTGAACGGAGAGAGAAACTTTTATGGCCTCATGGCAAGGTTGAGCTTGCTACCGCTTCCAGTGTAAAGAGGTTTTGAAGCTTTTTGCGAACTACTTGTTTAGGGCTCTTCCGGTTTAAAGGGGTTTCTTTAAGCCCTAATTAGCGCAGGGCTGGGCCCGCGCTCTTTTGGCTCAGCTACAAAAGCTGAGCTTCAAGTACAGCTCTGGCAAGTTCAGCGCAGCATCATGTTGCATCCTGAAAAGAGCGTGCGAAAAGGCGTCTTAAGTCCCGAGCCTGAGTCCAGACCTGCCATTTGTCGTATGAAATATGGGAGATTTTTGTATGGTGAGTATGGAGATGTGCCTTCCTTGTATTATCTCTAGTCATGGACTATAAGTTAGCATTTATTGTTGATACCATTGTGAACCACTGAGACGTGCATCATTGGGATTCTCTCTTGATTCGTTCATGATGCCCAGAGTAACCGCAGCTGGTACCATGTAGCCCCAAACCCTATTCAAGTTATCAGGGCCCCTGCAGCATCGAGATCCTATGAGGCTTGACGGTTTAGGGGGTTTAGAGGGTTTAGGGGGTTTAGGGTTCCAAGACTTCGGGGCGTATGGGCCACTTTTCGACTCCGAGGCTTCCAAGCTCTGATATTTGGTGGCTGGCTCAGTCAAAGCCAGTCTTGTGAGGTGGATCCTGGCCAGAGGCTCAGGGGTGGGAGTTTAATAGTTGGGTTTCGGGCACTAGGGATTAGGATTTAGGATTTCTGGAAACGAAGTCCCCTCTCAGTCAAGCGCAAATTGAAGAGTGTCATACAGACATGAGTGACATGAGGGCAAAGAATACATGGCCCTAATGTATTGAACCTACAACATCTTCACCGCCATGCCCTAGGCCGTAACACAATCTCATAGACTGCTTCCGGAAGCAAGAGGCATATCTTGTAGACACAATTCACATCTTCGGAAGAGATGCATGGAGCATGCTTCCTTTACGAAGTATTTCATGCGCTTGACGGCTGGAGAGCTTCAAGCACGGTGTTCAGGATCTTTAGTCTTTCGGGATCGAATCCCAGACTCAGAGAGAGTAACTCCATGATTGGCAGAAGTTCGGCAGGTTTAAGGCACGCGATTTACATGCGCTTTGCGACCCAAACCCCTAAGCTCCGAACTTACACCCTCAAGCCGCAGACGGCAATATGCAATCCTGAATAAGTCTCCATGCTAAATAAATACATAATATGTATATATATATATATATATATGTATGTATATTATCCTCAGGGTTCCTCATTCTAGGTAGAAAGCCACAACATACCCCTCCAAATCCTTTGTGTTCAGGCCCCAATATTACTTAACTACACCCTCATATTAAAGCCCTGATACTAGAAGCCTTATAATAGAACTCTATAATAGAACCCTTATAATGGAACCCCTACAGTAGAACCCTTAGAATAGAACCCCTTAAACAGAAAGCTTCACGGAGTATTAACTAAGCCAAACATTTCTGGGTGGGTACCGGGCCATGGCTTCGGATTTGGCGGTGCAATGTGCAAAGCTGCCGGCATGGCCACCCACGCGATGTTGTTCAGGTTTAAGGGTTTAGGATTTAGGGGTTAGAGTTTAAATGTCGATTTAGGGCTTCAGGGGTTTAGGGTTTGTAGGGTTTACAGTTTAGGCTTCTTGTTTGTTGGGCTGCTTTTGGGATAGCAGCTTTATGCGGGATCTTGGGCTTCATTAAATATGTAGGGTTACTATAGGTTTACGTGTGGTTGCCACTCACCATCTCACAGGATCTGATGCTTGTTTACAGAATGTTCACTTCAAACGGTTGGTTCTTAGACTTAGTCCATTGAGCAGTAAGTGCCTTACACCGCAAGCTTTGGATGTTGACAGCTAGAGTATCCAGAACACAACCTCGGAGTCGCTTCGTAGAAACTCAGACCCTCCCTCATGTTCGCAGATATTCCTTTGTCCCTGTTTCCGCGTAACCGCTTGGTTGTCCCACATTCGTCATCGTTCATCGTCACGGTGGATTTGATTGTTGCTTCGTTTTCAATTCCGCAGAATCCCCCGATGCACACCGAAAGCCCCTCGTGCCCAGACCCTCAACTTGAAATCCGAACACCTGATCCTGAAGCCCTCTACCCTAAAGCCGGAAGCCCTAAACCCTAAGACTTCGAGGTCCTTGGACTCCACATGATCTCCGAAATGGGAGTTTCCGAAGCCCTCAACCGCAATCCGCCAGGCTGGCAACTCGCCGTCTGATACCAGAGGCAGCGAGCCCTGAACCTTGAGCCAGGGGTACCTTAGGGTTCCTTTAAAGGGGTACTATAAGGATTCTATAAATGGTTTAGGGTTTAGAGTTTCCGAAAATTAGGGGTACCTTATTTGGGGGTCCTTACAATAAGGATCCAACATACTATGTAGGGTACTATATGAGGGTCCCCTATTTTCGGAAACTCCCATGCAGACCTTCAGTTGCAGAAACGGTTCAGGGTTCAGGAATATTCAACCCTAAACCCCAAACCCATGCAGACCTCAGGTTAAAAATGGGGTTCAGGGTTAAGGGGTGTTCAGGATTAAGCAGTCGAGGAGGCCGCAGCCTTCATCAGGCACAGTGTTGGTAGTGGCTGCCTGCAACCGAAAAGACCTACATGTTCAGGGCTCCTTCTTATGAAACCTCTACAGAACACTACGTAGGGTTTTTTGGGTTTTCAGCCGCCATGGCCGACTGGATGACGTCCGTATATGCTAGTGGCAGAAAGCAGGTAGCTCGTGTTCGGTTACAAGCCCCAGGCCCTAAACTCGAAGCCCTAAACTCTTAACGGAGCTCGGAGCGAGAAGTCGTTGCAAGGACTATCCGAAGCTGCTTTCAGCGGCAGAGGCTCGCAGGGTTAATGACATGGATGCCACATCCCAAACCCCCAACTCCAACGATGAAGACCCCCTATAGCATGCCATTGCAAGGGCTTTAGAGGTTTAGAGTTTATGACGATTGGCATGAAGTTCGGCTTGGCATTTAGCCCACGTCCCGACACAGACAAACGTATGTATTGCGTTGCATTGTACCGTATTGTATTGAATCGCATTGTCAGGTACCGTAGTGCATATTACTGCACGCATCGTTTCGTATCGCAGCGCTACTTTGTGTTACCTTACCCTAAGGCCCCAAAGTAGTTCCTTTTTGGGGTTCGTATATAGAATCCTATAAGGTAATCCCAAAAAGGAACTACTTTGGACCTTCTGAGTTATGTCTCTTGCTCTACCTTCTGTGACTTCTGGCGTGCACACGGCAGTCAGACCCAAGACTGCTATTACATGTTTTTGAAAGTTTTTTCTATTCTATGACATGTGATTGCTATCTTTTGTTCTTGCCAGCACTAATAATATTAATTTTTATCATTTTTATGACTATGAATACTACTATACTCTAAAAAGCCTACAAGCCTATGAAAGCTCTGAAGCCCCAAAGCCTTGGACCTTTCTGCGGCATCTTTGGAGGTGCGAATCCTCGAGGCAAAGAAGGAGGAGATCACAGACAAGGCCTGAGGCTCGGGGTTTAGGGGTTAGGGTTCAGGGTTTAGGGTTTAGGGGTTTAGGGTTTAGGGGTTTAGGGTTTAGGGTTTAGGTCGGGGTTTGGAGTTAGGATGCAAGGTTTAGGGCTTCGGGGCCTCAGGGCTTAACAGGCGAGGTTGTTGCAGCCTCAAAACCAGAACCCTTTCGTGTACTGTAGAGCCCTACAGCCCCAGATCCTAGCCCCAAACCTCCTAGCCCCAAACCATTAAATCCTGCAGCCCTTGATGCCTGGACCCCATCAGTGCTTACGCCCTAAGCCTTAGGTCTTGAGTTAGACCCCAACGCAACCCTAAACCCTCAGCGAAAGACAAACCGAGGCAGCCAATGAGCTTATCTCCGAGCACGGAGAGAACGTGCACTACCTGGCTGCCAAGAAGATCTATGAGGCCTTGAACCCCAGAAGCACAGCTTTTTTTGCCTAGCCTACCTGTGTATACACAGGGATACTGTACTAAGTGACTCGGGTACATATTTAATCCTAGGTTCTTATTAGTAGGGGGGGGCCCCCCCCCCCCACCCCCCGCCAAAAAGGTAACAGAATTAAATTTGCGGGGGCCGCATTAATGGAAAATCATGCCTGGGTTGCTGGGGCTCTTTGGGCTCTATTAAAAACCATAGCAATGTATTGAATGTCTATTAGAAAGCTATTCAAAAAGGCTGGATGCATGGAGAAAACCTCCAGTGGGGCTCCTTGAGCTCTATTAAAAACCATGGCAATGTATTGAATCTCTATTAGAAGCCGGGACCGGCCGGCTTCCTACAAATGTGAACCCTTTTATTAATGTGTTTCCGTGTGCCTGCGGGCAGGCCCCGTAAGGGGTAGGTCAGGAGAAAATGAAAAATTGCTTCCCCGGATAAGCGAATGAATAAGGAAAGCTAGCTTTCTGAGATGCCTGAACTTTTGGAAAAAGCTTGGCCTCGGAGGGCAGCTTCTGCTGAAGGGAAAGGGCCGGTTCCCACAGAAGCTTTGCTTGTGTATTAAAGAAGCAAGCAAGCAATGGCAAAGACCGCAGCAAGCTGCACCAGCAGACTGGAGATCGGCGAGCAGCTCCAGTTGCAGAAATGAAGAGCCCGTGCAGAGCTTAGGACCCTACAAAAATTAGGGGCCCCAAAAATATTTCTTTAAATGTGGGGTATTTCCTCCGGACGAAATCCTCACGTAATGGAAACACCTCTTCGGAGCCATTCCAGACCCGAAAAAATTTCTTTAAATGCGAGGGATTTTGTTAATCAGAACCTCGGATTACATACACGTGTGACGTGTGTGTATGTGTATACATAAATATATGTCTATAGACTCAGACAATAAGGTGAGTATCTACACTAGTTCTCGTCGAGTAGCAATAAAGAGGGAAACTCGGCTTCTTGGGCACAGGGTTGTCTGAAGAGTGCCCCAAACGACAGAGGGCTTCCCAGTGCACCAATCACTTGTACGGGGTTTCCTGAAACTACCAGTCCCTACATGACTAATGTTAGCAGTAGGGTCCTTTAGCAGAACCTAC